GTGGGATTTGAATGACGCTGCTGCTGGTGCCACTGGAAGAAAGGGGCACCTGGAAGTCTGCATGTGGACCCATTTGGTGCTGGAGAGGCATTACTCAGAGTAGATATCCCCTGGGAACCCACTAATCACAATTGTGAGGCTTTCCCGCTTCCCCACACGTTCATCCTCTGGGGCCATCTGGTCTCCTGGCTTGAGTTTGAAGGGCACTGATATAGTTACAGGCTCCCTCCCTGACCCCACTTCCTACCCCCATCAGAGGAGTGCTGAAGGCACCTGGGGTGGGGACAGGCCTGGGTCTCAGACTATACTGTTGGGCAACAGGGATCTGATATGTGCCCTCTGGGCGGGGTAGCTAGAAGCTGAGTCATGACCGGTGACTCAGCATTCTGAGGCAAGGAAGAGGGAAGCATGAAAGGTCAGTGTGAAGGCTACTCTTTGGGGAATGTTATTAAAACTCTGCCGATTTACATATGTGCTTTGGGGCCTTGTAAGAAAAGTCAGCTCATCACATACAGAATTAGCTTGAAGGAAATCTTCAAAGTCAGCAATTTCTCCAGCACTCCCTCACTCCCTCATGAGTGCCTGATCCAGTGTCATTTGGATCCAGTGCCCTTCTGAAGACCCCGAGGCACTGGCCTTAAACTGCCCTGGAACCTCATTACAGACAAGGGGGCTTAATGTCCCTTCCCCATGGCTCCCCTGGGGTCAGCCTCTGTCTGCTTTCACAGAGATGTGGAAATAATCTGTTATTTGCACAACACTTGATAGTTTACAAAACATGTTTGTATAAACTCTGCTTTGTGAGCCTGACAAGAGCCTTGAGTGGTGATGAGAATGTTCCTTATTTTTCTGATGAGCAAACCAAGGGCCATAGGAGTTTAGAGAAGGGTCCCATGACTGAGTAAGGGCATCTGCCTGGTACAGGAGCCCTGCTCTTTGTGCCCCGCCACATGAATGACACAGCGAGCTCGTCCTCCAGGACAGAAGGCTGGTGGGGATCCCCAGGAAGTTCCTCCTTCCTGGGGAAGATGTGAAGCTGTGATTTTATGGGGCCAAGGCCCTGTGCATGTCAGCAATCCCCGAGGGGCATTTCTGTCAGTGTGGCTCTCAGGCGGGCTCAGAGGGGCTGGGTTCTATGCACAGAGCCTGTGCATAGCCCAGCCTGGGTGATGTGGTGCAGGCCTTGTTCTCACTGTATTTTCTCACCCTGCTGGCAGGGTAGAGGAGGCAGCGGTTGTGAGTAGCAGGAAGCCTGGTTTGTACTCTAATGCTGGTTGTCCAGTGCAGTAGCTTCTGGATCGTGTGGCTGCTAAGCAATGGAAACAAGGCTGTGACAGCTGAGGTGTGCCATAGCGTAAAGCACACTCTGGGTTTAGTACCAAAGAGCATGTAAATTCTCTCGTGAATCAGTGTCAGTGTATTAATTGCATCTTGGAATAATGATTTGGATATATTGGGTTAAATAAAATGCATTATTGAAATTGATTTTACCTACTTTTAAAAATGTGACTCACATTAGAGTCACTCTCCTAGAAAGTGTTTGTAGGAAGCATGCTTTTCTCCCTGTCTAGACTAGTAAAGTATAAACGCCATAAAGCGAGGGGGGGAAAGTCTTCCAAATACAAAAATGCACATCTTCCTTCTAAATGATGTAACATCATCTTACAAAGAAAAAAAAAAAAAACCTGTTCAAATGAGCAGGGAACTCCAGACAAGCTGCCCCGACCCATGCAAATATTATGATGGCAGAGGTTTAACCCCATGAGAGATCCATGGCCAGTTGTGGGCGGGCAATGCAGGCTGCAGGTGGCAGCATTTCATGGGCAGGTCTGAAGGGTGAGAAGTGCCCAGTTGAGAGGGGCATTTTGACTTTATGTCTAAGGACTGGGAAGTCAGATGTATAAAAGCTCAGAGCCTGGCTGGCACCAGTGTGGATAGGTCTCTAATCTGCTGGCCTAACTGTCCAGGGCACATTAGCTCCTGGGCTCGCTCTACCTGGCCCACCAGCACACAGCATGCTGGGGAAGGCTGTCAGCTCCTGAGTGGGTGTGCCTCTTCTCCTCTGGTTAAATCGAGCTTTTCCAAGCCATCTCTTTAGGAAAGGTGGCATCCTTCACATTTGCATATTCAGCAGACAGAATATTTGCAGCGTGAGAGCTTCCTTACTGATCCTGCAAGAGAGACCCTTCTAGGTGTGATGACCTTCATGGATAAATAAATGTTTGCAGGTCACATATCCACAGCTAACACCTCAGACAGATTCTGCAGAGCAGCGTGGGTCCTCGCTTTGTTGGTTTGTTTAAACAATCTGATGAAATATCCTGCGTAACCTTCTCCCCTTGACTGTGGGCAGGACCTGTGTATATGATATCACTCACCCAGGTAGATTACATTACAAGGCAAAGATGAAGGGATTTTGCAGATGTAATTAAGGTCCCTAATCACCTGACTAGAATTAATCACAAGGGAGATTATCCTAGATGATCCTGACCTAATCAGGTGAGTCCTTTAAAGAAGAATCTAGAGATCAGAGAGATTTAATCAGAAACTCTCCTACTGGCTTTAAAGAAGCTTACTGTGGAGAGGGGTCCCTGGCAGGAGACAGTAGGACACCTGTAGGAGCTGAGGGCGTGCGGAGGGAATGGAATTCTGCCCGAAAGCAGTGAGCTTGGAGGAGGACTCCCAGGTAAGACCCTGAGCAGAAGACCCAGTTAAGCCATGCCCAGGCTTCTGACCCACAGACACCGTGCAATAACAAATGAATTTGTTGTACGCCTGTAAGTTTGTGGCAATATGCTACACAGCAATAGAAAACGAATACGGGCGATCTGGGGAAATATCTATGGCCAACAACTCCCAGGGTTCTGTTTCAGCTGTCCATGAGGGTTCCAGCCAGACCACACACAAAAGTTACAACAAACATTTGTTTGCTTGTTTCCCACAGAGTTAGGTCCTAAAAAGCTTTACTTCAAGGACCCCTGTTTAACAAACCCTCTGTGAGCTTCTGGGCTCCACATGCTGAGCGGGGTGTGGATGGTGCCAGGAAAGGCATCAGTGCTGTCTGTCAACGGAGTTTAGTGGTTGAGCTTCTGGCACCGCCCCCTCCTCTCCCTTCCATGCCTGGGAAATGTAAGGGATCATTCACTGATCAGATAATGGAGTTAAACTGTGGTTGACATGGGGGACGATGCCTGAAACAGCAGCAGTAACAGATGGCAAAAGAGCAGACAACTTAGATATTTTACCAGCTCTTGTAAAATATTTTATTGGTATAAGCATGAAAGGAAAACATAACTGTGTGCTGGCACACTAAGACAGGATTTTAAATCCTAAATTCTAATTTTAGAAACCTATAGCACCTCATTTCACAGCTAACATCTTTGAAATGATGAGACAATATTTTCATTGACTTTCAAAAAAATACCTAAGAGAGAACTATCCACCATAAGCCCCTCCTCTATTTTGCACACTCAGGGAATCCGGTTCCTGTTGTCCTGAGTCATTGACTGCCCCTTCAGGATGCAGAAGCCACGTGAAATTACCATCACATGCCACAAATGAAACGCATTCCACCCACATGGCATTTCCACGACCACCCCAATTTCCTCTTCTCAAATGGTTGTGACTTCCTGTTCTACTCCCCTCAGAATAACTCCGCCCCTGCATCTGCACGTACTGGTTGCGATAATCTTTCTCTTCTCTTTATAACTTTTTCTTTAACCTTCCAACACAAGCCCCTCTGAAGTTCTTTACACAAACAACAAAAGGTTGTGATTTCCCACTGTGTTCATTTCTGACCCGAGCAACCTACTCCTGAACAATCCATGAATGCTTCATTCCCTTCTTTGTCCACACAAACAATAAGAAACAGGGGAAAGGACGGTGAACATGTGACTCATTCAAGAGGTGACGTGATGGGGATGGGGGGAGGTGAAGGAGGGTATGGGTGATACCTGGTGATGGATGGAGACTTGACTTGGGGTGGTGAACACACAATAAATACAGTGTACAGATGATGTGTGTGGAATTGTGCACCTGAGACCTGAATAATTTTGTTAACCAATGTCACCAATTGCTCACTTTTATACAATTACAGATTACAGATTCATGGGTGCGCTCCTTTATGGCTTTGAATTCTACTGCTCAGTTTAGGATACTCTTGGCCAAGAGCAGGGCTTGAACTATGTATCTTGCAGGTGGGAGAGAAAAGCAAAAATTATTTCTCCAACTTTTTGTTTACATAGCTTTTCTGGAATTTGCATCCAGTGCTATGGCTCATGAGGTGGGAAGCACATGCACGCCTCGGGTGGTGTGTGTGTGTGTGTGTGTGTGTGTGTGTGTGTGCGCGCGCGCGCGCACTCAAGTATGTAGTAAGGGAACGTGCCTCAGTTAACGAATGTGGGCAGATGGCCAGATGCACATTTTATGGAACGCTGCCAAAGATTCCTGCCATTACAGAGGTTCCTTTCACAACGTCAAACTCAATGATTCCCAAAGGAGCCCTACAGAAGGGGCTGGAACTCAGTGTTTCTGGTCCCATTGTGTTTTTGAACATGGGAACCACAGCCTTCTCCCCAGCTCTCTGCTTTCCTTGGCTGGTCGTGTCAAGACGGCCTTGCTAACACTGTGCTGTAACCCTGCCTCTGTTCTCCCTGATAAAACCCCAGGCACCCGATCAGCTAAAGCCAATCTTTCCCTAATGTCTAATTCTACTTCAGCAGGTCCTCCACCTTCTCAGTGCTGAGCTCTGCCCACAGTTGATTACGCCCTGGAGAACGTTGTAGCCTAAGGATCATTTCCCTTAGGGGCTTTAAAAAATGAACTGTTCAGTTGGAATAATGCAGTGGCAACTTTCAGCAAACGTGGGAGTCATGTCTAGGCCATTCGTGAATATGTAGAAATAAAGAGTTCATTTACTTTTAACATTGTTAATATTTCAATCTGTTCCACCTGCCCTCCCCCCCAGCACTCCCCATGAAGAAAAGAAAGCCAGAGTAAACTTTAGAATTAAAAGAAAGAGATTTTTAATGAGTTAAAATTTTAAAAGAAAACTCTTTCGAACCTTGATAAACTAATGGTTGTTGCATTCAGCCCCTTTTGTCCTATCTTCCTGGTGGGCAGGTCCTTGGTCTGAATGAGGAGCGCCTGGCCCCCATTTCCCAGGTAGTCCCACATTTTATTGTCTCATGATGACTTTGGTTGGAATATATGGTTGCTGTAGCTGCAGCACATGGCTCACTTTAATACGGATGCAAATTTAATAAATATTTGTATTTGTATGAAAGGCACGGACACACACAAATCACAAATAATCCAATTCTTGGGGAAACCTCCACCATCTGTTCATCAAGGGGACGTGCCAGTGAGAGCTTGGACTAGGCAGCGGTAGAACTTTCCGGAAGATTTCCAAGTGGTTGGAATGAACACAAGTTACACTGTACAGAGCTCTACATGTATATTGGTCTGGAGACTTAAAGACTGAGAGCGCTAATACATAGAGAGCCGCACAACACACCAAAGCCCACTAGGTCCGCAGTGGCAACGACAGTGATATACAGTGCCGTAGGTCATTAAAATCTAGTCTGTCATGCGCAGAGAAGTACCTGGAAGCCGTTCCATATAATATATGACAGTTGGGATCTGTTTGCAGCGCAATGTATCACATTTGGCAATTAATGGATAAAAAAAATACGCATTTTTTTTTCTTTTGCTTTCAAAATGTGGAACAAACCAAAACATAAAGCTTTTCTGATAAGCTATAAAAAAAAACTATAAACTATAAAAATATAATCAGCAGTTGGTCTTGCTTGGATCAGATAAAGGATGCTTATCACACTTCCTTTGCATATTCATTCCACTTAGCTCAAACCTTAAATGCAAAAAAACTAGATATGTAGGATCATGTCTCCTCCCATGCAATTTCTGGTCAATATTATTATCCACTTGAAAGAATCCTGATGATGTAATTTACTCTCTATTTCCCCCCCACTTCTTTTTCCCCCTTCTCTTTGCTAAGAAAATACCAGGGAGGTATTAAACTTTTTCCATGGCTTTCTTTTAGTTTCCATTTTTGAGCCACCTCTTAATTCTCAGTGTTGTATTGTCTAGCAATTGTGTTGGATCATGAACATGGAAATCTTAAAATGTGGTTCTTAATGTTGTTTCTCTCTATTTTTCCCTTCCTTCCTTCCTTCCTTCCTTCCTTCCTTCCTTCCTTCCTTCCTTCCTTCCTTCCTTCCTTCCTTCTTTCCTTCTTTTCCTTCCTTTCTTGAATCCACTAAAGTATTTCCTAGGTACTAGCATTATTACATCTTATTTTAATGAAAGCTTATCTTTGTGGCCAACATGTGAAGAGTGAAAATGTCTCTTTGAAATTCTATTTTACAATATAGACAGATAGTTGGGCTTTGGGAAAGTTGAGTTTCACTTAAATACTATACACATTTGGTATCACACAAAGGGTGGGGGTGGGGCAGCAAAAGAAATGGAACAATTACTTTTTGTCCCTCTTTACACAAGAAAGGCTCTTCCCTACTGAAAAGGTCTCTTCGGCATCAGCTCCCAGAAGCCTGTGGAGAGAATGTGTTTCCCAGGGCTTTGAAAATATCTCTTTCTCAGAGCACAGCCACTGTTCCCAAGAGTCACATGGGTTGGATTCTCTTGTTCTTAGTTGAGCAACGAATAAGCACTGGATGTGTTTTCCAAGGATGAGCTGGTTGTTTCCGGGGTGGAAACATTGTAGGTTCCTGAAACACAGAACAGCAGCTTAGCCCAAAAGACCAGCCTGGGCGATCACGGAAGGGGTGGGGGGCTTCTTCTAAAGGCCCGAAGGGGAGCTCTAGTCCAAGAGCCAGGTAAGCCCGCCGTGCCAGAATCAAACCCATGCCCGCCCTCCTCAAGTGCCTGAGAACAGACAAATCTGTCATTCTCAAGCGTGCGAGGCAGCCGACAAGACAAGCACTAACTACTTCCCATCACACCAGCAGCCAGATTTCTACAAAGGACAGAGAGTCTCCACATGGGCAGCCCTCCGCATGCCACCACATGCATGGGACATCCATAGGAGGGAACCCCCTGGTCCCCTTGGATTGGGGTGACTTGGGGAAGCTCTTGGGAAGGGTCTGTAAGCTGAATTGAAGGTGATGGGGGAAGGGAGAGATGGAAAGAAAAGAGAAAACTACAGGGGAAGAAAAGGCAAGACCAGGAAAGAGGAGAAGTCAGGGGATGCTAACAGAAGTGCTGAGAGCGAGTGCAGCAGGGAGGGGACCCGGAGCCACCACACAGGCTGTGTCAGCAGGAAGCCGGGACGAAGCACAGGGAGAGTGGGGGACATGTGTCGAGCAAGGGAAGGGACACAGTGGCCACCCTACCATCAGATTGGTGAACTGCCACTGCTAACAAGGTTTCCATCACTGCTTGGGGGCCCCTGTGGGGCTGCTGGCAACATAAACCAAAGTCACAGTGATTATGAACCCCTCAACGAGGTCATCGGAGCTGCATTTATGACCCGAGAGGCTACCAAGTGCAATGACGGGGAATCCCAGGCCCTGGGACCTTGGAAACAGCTCCAACTCCAACTTTTGTCTGTGTGATTCAGAAATAACGGACAGCTTTTCTTGGCCTTCCATGTTATGTGGGATCATTTCATAGACTTTTCACCAGTTTCCCTTTAATGCAAAGGGCAAACACATCCCAGCAACAGTGATGGTCAAGTGTAACAGTGCTAACACACCCTGAGGGTCCCTTCTCAGCAGGTCCAATCCGTGACCTTCAAAATCAAAAGCCAGCGCCCTCCAGTTCCGTGTAATGCCTCAAACTAAAACCCGAAACACCAAGTCCTCTGGAGTTCTAACAACGAAAAGCCTTGCTCTGGAACATCGACACGACTCTAGATTCCACATGTGTGAGACCTGGTTGGCTTCAAGAAGCTGAAAGGAACTGCGCTGCTTATTTTCACGGAGACCGTAGCGGCGTGGCACAGAGTTTCAAACAGCTGAGACTCATTGCCCAAAGCCATTAATATTATTTATTGTGTGCCTCCAAGGTGGACACTTACCTGTGCATGTTTCGGATAGCATAGCTGACTTGGGGATCCCTCTTATATGTATGCGTAATTTCATAAATGGCAATGTGTAAAACATGCACTTTCAAAAAAAAAAAAAGGAACCCGGAGCATGGGCTTCTATAACATGCTTTTCTGAACATATTCTTTGCTGCACCACAGCCCGGAAACATGACCCACCTGGTCGCATTTCACAGGAATAGAAGGGTGGTCAGTGTTTGACAAGGCGGGCAGTTTCCATCCCCATTGTTAGGGTTGATACCCGTTTGACAGACAGCTGTCTGCAGGCTTTTCTAGGTTCTCCAAATCTTATTCCTCATAAGTTATTAGTTGTTCCACTGAAGGAAGCTACCTTCTGTACCAGCCTCCTGGTGGTTTGGGGAAAATCTAAGCAAGTTCCTGTATTTAACCTCTGCCCCCAATGAGGGCATTGTAAATGTCATGAAGTGAGGACTGGGAAAGCAGGGGTTTGAATCTCCCCATCAGGGCAATTTGTTTGGGTCAACCCAGGGAGCACCTAGGGGTCACTACCTACCTGTTTTACCAAACAAATTGTTAAATCTTCTTGATATCGGAGAACTCATAGAAAATACAGGTGTCGAGGAACCTAGGGATGTTGACTAGAAACGAGAAAAAAAAGACAATTACATGCAAATGTGTCAGACCGAGGCCCTGCTTTCTCTAGTCAGATTCATTCATTTGCTGCCCTCTAGTGGTCATTGTCTGAATAGCTCTCATCCCACTTCAAGGTGAGAGCAGGGATAAGCATGAATTTCTCCTTAAAACCAGTCAAGTGGGAGCCCCGTGAGACCTGGAATATCATCACCGGTATTAGAAAAATAACTTTGAGATTTTTTTTATTGTCATAGAGTTTAGTATCTTCTGACATATGTAAACAGGGAAATATATTTGAGTGCAATTGTTATTTTCCAAAACAAATTATAGAAAATTCTATTCATCATTATTCCTCAAATTGTGTTTTCTACAGCCCTGAGTTTCATCAGACGCTCCTTGTTTATTTCTCATTGAAATTTGATTTTAACCTCCAGTTGACATTATCTGTGCTATTTGTCCCCTGTTTAAAGATGTGGGGACAGCATCTTAATGATAGTTCCATAGCGTGTGTAATAGGTTGAATCAGGCGAGAAGCAAAAACATTGGAATCATCTATGCCAAAACTAGTTGTGGAGAGAGAAGGGTTTTCAAAAGTCTCTACAAAGGAAAGAGTTACCTTTGAGTGCTGTGAAGACCATCTTGACAGAGAAAACTTTTTCAGCAAAGCTTCCTGTACCTGCATTGTTTAACAACAACAACAAAAAGCCATCATAAATTCTACTTGCCATGAGCACCTCAGACTTTTCCAGGAGCATGAAATTGTCATGTTCTTACCTTCTGGTCCCAGAGGCACCCAAAGAGCAGAATGAATAGTCCCTGAAAAAAAGAATTGTGAAGAAGTGCATTTCACTAATATTCTATTGTTCAGCAAAATAGGAAGTATTGCTAACCTGGCATTGAATTTGTACTACCTCTTCCCACACCTGTGTTTATGGAGTGAGCCTAGTACATGATGTTAAAAGAGATGCAGTAGGTCCACACCAAGGGACTTTAAATGTTTTATGTTATCAGGGTATTTTCTATTTCCTTAATTTCCCCCAATTGTGAAGTGGAGGTCCTGTTGGTTATGCTATTAGACATACCTCTTATGCCTACAGCAGCCCTCACATAGTATGATGAGGGCCTGAGCCATGGAGTGGAATAATCATTTACTTCTAGTCAAGGCATATCATAAATGTCATCAGACATGAGCCCTATAATTTGGAGTCTTGGGCCCATTAGCAGAAATTAGAATTTGCATCCGGGGTGTTGTCTCAACTTCACCTCCAGACCTCCTACCTCCTCACCAGCTCATGGGGGCCTGTGTTTCCTACCCACCCACTCGTGAGATCAGAATTAAGCATTTCCTTCCTTGTGCTCCAAAGGCTTGTTGTCTGTACCTCGGCTGAAGCTTTTCTAACCTACCGGCTTGTGTTATAATGAGTTATGCACTGCAAGAGAACAAAGAGGGCGTCTTTTCCATTTTAGCTTAATAGAACAAAATGTCCACCTTACGTAAGACACTCATTCTTTTGTTCTTCAGCAAGTGCTTCCCGAGAACATTCTATGTGGTGCATAACATTCATTTCATTTGTCAAATGGTTATTTTTCAGCACATAGTTTGGGCCAAGGTCATTTTTAGGTACTAGGTATATAATGATAGATAAGACCAATGCTGTCCCTGACCTCTCAAAGAGCGATCTCATTTAATGCTTGTGGCAATTAACTGGAGCGATTACTTGGTTATATAGAGGATTTTTTCTTTTAGGAGATAATAGATGGCATCAAGACAATGTTGGGTAAATAGCAAAATCCAGTGTCGGGAAGGGACTCTCCTCCTACTTGTACTACCAGGGCATTTAGAAGAGAGTCACATGTGCAACTAAATTATAATGCAGGTGATAAGAGGTATGAGGTTCCATGGGAACAGAGGAACGTGTCCTTTCTACCTTGTTAAGTTCTTGTGATTACTGCTCTTTAGGGCTAGGTCCTCCTCTGAACTAAAATCCTTCCCCATTCCCACTCCTGTTTGTGTTTCTATCATTAATTTGTCCCACCTGCCTAGATACTTCCTGCAAGGCTGGCACTTCAGAACTTACCTGGAAGGCATTGAGGAGGGTAAACACAATATGGAACACAGCACTGCTTCCCTGGAACACAGTGGCGAGGCCAAAACCCCAGGTGAGCCCCAAGAGTGGCGTGAGGACCCCAATGCTCTTGGTGATCTGAAACAGGCTGTTCTTCTCCTGCTTGTTGGGCTTGTCTCCAATGGAAGGTCTCAGGATCTTGGTGATGACCACAACCGTGATGGTCATGTTTACCACCACGATGATCAGCGCTGGGATGACGAAGGCCAACAGAGCCTTGGTATCCTCCCAGTTGAGCCAACAGGCATTCTTCCGCGTGTAGACTTCCCTAGGCTGAGTGGCACCCACTGTGATGACTGAGATGATAAGAGGGCAGCCATAGCCGAGAGAAAATGCAATAACCTTCTGAATGGATTTGCTTGAATCATGCAGGATGAAAACCAGGCGGTAGAAGAGCATGAGGCCCAGAGTCAGCATCCAGAAAAAGACGCTGAGGTAGAAGAAGTGGATGAAGAAGGTGGCAGCCACACAAGCTGTCTCATTGAGTACGTAGTGATGGTCCCGGATGGTGGAGGCCACAATGAACCAGACGTCAGCAACCAGAAGGGAGGCTGCAATGTTCACTATGCAGATGTGACGCATATAGGAAGTCCGATTCTTGGTCACTGACTTCCACACCACAGCTTCCACAACTAGACAGGCTGCTAAGCTCAGGATGGAAAAGCACAACCCAATGTAGGAAATGATATCCAGCAGTATTTTCAGGAGAGAATCAGGGTCCGGGGAGTCAGGAGACATGAGGATGGAGAATGATGTTAGGTGGTCACAGCTGCACACGACACTGTCCCCATCGACTTTCGTATAGCACCCACTGCTATCCCACCCTCCTGTATAGTTGGCGAGGCTGAAGTTCCAGAAGACACATTGTGGTTTCCCACCTAAGGACTTGTTGTTCTTAAAAGTCATTGAAATCCTGAACGGAGCAGTTATTTTGTGGCTGACAGTGGTTGTCATCACTAAGCTGTTGGCAAAATTCTTCCCCTGAGTATCCTGGGCGAGGATGGTTTTGAGAGTTGGGAAAGCCACGGTGACAATAGATGTGTCTGGCTGCAGGTTCTCCACATGGCACTCGTCAATAGCCACATTGCCCCAGAGGTCGGAGTCTGAGAAAACAAACCTCTGTTTGTAGGGTTTTGGAGAGCCAGATTTTATTACCATGCCCCTCATCTGCACGTTAGTGTGGGAGATGGGCAAAACGGCGCTATCTTCTGACCGTAATGCTCGGGAAAATCTTTCCACCGAATCTAGTAGCTGTGAGCTGTGATTGGTCTGTTGCTGTTGTAACACCTTCCACGTACTCAGGATGGGCTTGTCGAGAATGACATTGACCGTAGAGAGAAAGTTCTGTAATTGACATGACATGGGATCAAATCAAATCAATTCTTTCCATTATATAAGAGAAAAAATACCATCTCTTTGGAAGCTGATTGAGTGAGTACAGGTAAGAGGAAAAGGAGGCATCATCGGCTGTGGGGACCTGGGACCCACCTTCTTATGGCAGGGAGTTAGTAGAGGATGGGTTGGTCTCCAAGACAGTGAGACTTAGTTAAAGATTCAGCAAAAGTGATAGTGAGAACCACCCACTAAGGCCAATTCAGTAGGCTGGCAGAGAGCTTCATTAATTGTTTTATTTTATCTTTAACCTCAAGCTTGTAAAGGCTTTTTGGTGGCTGGCATTTCACCCACAAGGTAGTCACAAAAGACCCTCTCATATGCTGAGCATCAAATGAGCAATGCTGTTGTTGTCAAAAGCATCTTTCTTTTTTTGCTAAACATTTTGATTCTCTCTCTCATAAACTCGGGCTTGTCATTTTCTATGTGTGCCTTCTCTCAATATAATCTCTCTACCCTTTTTAAACGTTTGTTCTCTGAAACTATGAGCCCTATAGTTAGTCGACTAGTGGCCCCCAAAATGACATGCTCCATACACAGACCCTGTGAATGTGACCTTATCTGGAGAAAGGGTCTTCAAAGATGTAATTTAGGTAAGGATCTTGAGAGGAAACCATCCTGGATTACCTAGGTGAGCCCTAAATCCAATGACAATTATCCATATAAGAAATAGAAAAGGAGAAGATAAATGGAGGACAGAAGGTCTTGTGAAGAGCAAGTCAGAGATTAGAAGGAGGCAGCCACAAGCCAACAAGAGCCTAGCACTATTAGAATCTGGAAGAGGTAAGGAAAGACTCTCCTCCCCTGGAGCCTTCAGAGGGAACATGGCCCTGCAGACACCTTGAGTTTGGACTTCTATCCTTGAAAACCCTGGAAGAAAAAAATTCTGTCATTGTAAGCCACCCAGTTTGTGGCAATTTGGAATAGCAGCCCTAGGAAATCCCTGGTTGGGTTTGGCCAGTGGGAAGCACTGGCAGGGGACGAGATGGTGGGAGAAGAAAAAGTTGAAATAGATTTCAACATTTTTTCTATGACCCACCATACCCCACTCCCCCATCCACACCATCTAAGCACATCTTGGCAATAGCTATGTCCCTCTGAGACTATAGCTCTTGCTGAGTGAGCCCTCATCCAGGGATTCAGCTCTCACTCAGCTGTGGGTACACTGTGTCCTCTTTCTCCTTTAGTCCCAGGGATAGTAATGGCTCCTAAATGTTGCTGGTCTCTGAATACCTCACCCTGCCCCCCGCCCCCTTTTTAAATCCTGGCTTTATGTCTTGAAACAACCTTTCATTCAAGTCTCTTCATCAGCATTCTTGCGGGTGAATTCTCTTTTCTCCCAGAACCCTGACTGCTTCAAAGTTCATGTTTAGTGCTAGACCTTTGAACATCCAATTCTGAAAGCCTTTAATTCCTACTTTTTCTAGATAGAAGGTAACAATTCATTCTATTTTAATGAAGATATTAAAGCAGAGATTCACTAAAGAAATCTTCTTAAAGTCCCAAAAGGAAAATAGGGAACCCCCTGATATCCTAAAAGCCATAGGTGGCAGAGCATGTTATGTGACTCTCATAACTAGGACACTGCTCTGGAAATGACAGAGAAGAAGCTATAATGGGGAGGTGTTATCTCTCTTGACCACAAGTCTTGAGGGGTGAAAAGACAAGACCTCCAAACTCCTGCAAGGCTTAAACAAACTCACCGTCATCATTTCTGAATTCACTTGGATCGGAACTGTTGAGAGCAAATCAAGGATGTTGACAATGGCTCCCAGGTTCCCCGGAGAACTGACTTCATGTGCCACCTTGTCTGTGCTGACAGAAAGGTCCTTCAGGTATGTAGGCAGCTTCTTGTCCTGAGAGGGGCTCTTGCTCAAAGCCTACCAACACAAAAGCCAACACAAACCAACAAAACACTTGTCAATCAGTTCGGTCATTAGATCATGCTGATCCGTCCATGACAAAATCTTTCCTATCCTTAGTTTCCTGTTTTATCCATACCCAAGAGTATATCTCATAAAATAACTTATTTTTCTTTTAAACTGTGTGTGCCCTTCAGAATGGAATATTACGTAAGACCTCACACATGGGAGAACGGAAAAACATATGTCAACCTGATGACTGATTGAGAAAATAAAAGGAGGCGTGATTGTTAGAGAACTAGATTAAAGTTGAATGAAACTGATACTTAGATGGTCCGTATGGAAGCACATTGGCTACTCTTTCCTTTTTATAATCATTTCCTCTGTTGGGTGACTGTCCCAATTTTCCTGGAACAGTTCTGGTATATAACTTCTCTCACCATGTAATTATTAACAGACCCTCTTTTATTTTCTAAAAGTGTCCTGGTTTCTATGATAAATGATATTGTCACCCTATCTGTAATCATCACACTTGTGTTTTCTATCTAACTCATACTTAAAATTAAAGAATTAACTCAGGTTAATTAACTCAGGTTAGTTCTTCATAGAGAAGAACTTTGATGAGTGTTCCAACACAGAAATTTATTCCTTTGAATGCATAAGTATTCATCTTACTTAGTATACTTCACATTTGTGATATTTTTATGAAAGTCATCTTGTATTCTAATTTCAATGTCTCTAATTAAATATAAGCTCCTTAACAATGTGAAAAATATGTTATATTTCTTTTTGTTCTTCTCATATCCCATAATATCTAACATAGTACAGTCATCTGACTTGGTACACAGTAGGTTTTCAACAGTATATGTTGAATGGATAAATCAATGGAATGTGATAGGCCAGCATGCCTCTTTTATATTGACAATGTATCTAAGTATCTAGAATTGGTACCATGGCCCAATGTTGAGTCCAAATTATACTTTCTATCTTCCTCAATTAGGATAATTTATATCTCCAATGCTTTGTCCATCATGGTCCAACTCAGATGCCAAGTTTTTCAAGCAGCACTTCCCGATTATCCTAACCAAAATTAATGTATATTTAATGTCATGTTATCTATCAAATCAGATTTGGCCTCTTTACCCTGATAGCATCTATAATAATGTTTTGTACATAGTAGATATTTTTAATGAATTTGGTATAAGACAAGAGGAGAACCAGATAAAACATAAGTTAATATCACCTCTTTTCCTCAATTCTCCCTCCAAGGGTGACAGAATTTGGAACCAGCTGTCCGAAGATGTCACCATCTGCTATAACCCCACTAGTTGCCTCATCAGTATTTATTTATTGTAACTCATGGAATTTTAGGAGTCTCTAACTTTCAATGACTTAAGTATGAGGTGGCATTTATCTATTTTGATGGAAAGAAAGGGATTTTCCCTTACTACATGACAGTAACCTCTATTCTAGGTAAGAGAAGTAAGCTAGTCCCTTCTTCTGTAACTACTGGTTACCTCTAAGGATTGAGGAAATCTCAGACCTGTAAAAGTATAAAGCCCAACTTTTTTTTTGCAATTGTCAATCTTATTTATTTATGTTGCTCTTCTTTCTTAAAAGATTAGAGCTATTTGCTTAATATAAAAATTATTCAAAGGACAGCTGGTAGTGAGGATAATACTACCCACCCCTTGCAGGCAACAAATAGAAGGTACTGAGAAGATAAAGTAAAGGTATATGGCTGTTTTTAAAGCAAAACACATATTTTGTTACCTCCATATTTGTATTTAAACCAATTTTTAAGCATATCTCGGTTTGTCCTTTTTTTTGGAAAGAAACAAATAAAAGTAGTTTTGAGAGCAACACAAACCAGCCCAAAGCCCGTTTTCCTTAGTGCTGAGACATGGTAAGCAAGACAGATGACCCCACGAAGACCTCAGAGTCAAAGGTTTGAGGATCACCTTGGCCAGCTGGAGCAGACTGTTTATTGGGGCAGAGATGCAGTCGCTTTTCTTCACCTCCCATTGGGAGCCCACACATTTGTAGGTCACCACCCCACCAACAGGACTCGCGGGGCTGCTGGACAGGTTCGAGAACCGGCAGAGCTTCGGGATCACTTTCCCAGGCTCCCCCACACCTATTATGGGATCTCGACATGTGATGTTTTCTCCTGCATTGGAAACGTGGAGATAAAAGGGACAACTGAGAGGAGGAGAAAAGGAAGTGGGAATGGGTTCTGGCCCAGGTAGAATTTTGATGTTTGAATTCATTTTTCCCTTTACTTTCAGTGACTTTTTTGGAGGTAGCCAGTCTTTATTTTGTCCCTGGCTTTCCAAAGCCTCTTAGTGCTTTCCATACACGTCTGACTTTAATCTGCACTTGCTTTTCCTAACAGGATTTATTTCCCACCTCCAGGCCCGGGAAACTTCTCTCTGCTGCCTGGACTATCTCAGCCATGGAAAATAATGAGAGCTTAATATAGGCTCAGCCAAATGAGAGATATTCAGGTTTCCAGGAGCCATAGAGATATAATGCCTTCACCCAAGGGATTCTCAACTCTGACATCTTAGAATCACCTGGAGAGCTCGGAAAATACCAACATCCAGGCTCACTACAGCCCAAGTAAATCAGAATCCCTCCAGCTGGAATTCAGGCACGTGTCTGCCCTGTGCAGTGGGTAGCCTCCCAGACTCAGCTGAAATATGACTTCATCTGCACGACTTTCTTGATCACTTCCTCCCCACCTATCTATCAGCAGGCAGCCTCTCTGGCCACCCACAAAGTCTCTAGCTTAGCACTTATATTCTTGACCACATCTATCTCTCCCTGAGCATGGAGCTAGGAAACGTGGCTTATTTCTTTTCAAACCCCCCATGCTTAGCCTAAGGCATGCCATAGGAAGGTGCTCAACGTCTATTATAGAATGGATGGATGAATGAGGGAGTGAATAAATAGGTAAATTCCTGCCCATGAGTACAACGCTTTAAAATAATTGAAAATGCTCTCACCAGGCACCAGATTCAGCTTCATAGACCGACTCCGGACTGAATTATTAGCAGCATTGGTGAAGTGGCAGAACACGCTGACATGTCTTGGACACCAGGAAACTATTGATTTTGCCATGAAATTGAATGTGTAGCACGCTTGCTTTCCATGAACTTCTTTTGCTAAGGCAGAATGATTGAAAGAATTAAGTCACCACATGAGTCTCCGAAGCACACATTTTGTTAAAATGATCCTCTATGGATACACTCGTGCAAGATTTCCCCAGGAATGTGCTATAATGATTTTTAATGTGGTTTTTTAAATGCCTCCAGCCTACAAGTAAGCAAGCCCACACTTGCATGCATGCTAGCAAAACCTCACCATTCTGTGCCCACACAGTTTGGGACACTCAGAATGCCTTTCAGAATGTCCTATGTAAATCCCATCAGGTCCTGAGCCTTTATCTTGTCTTGCCTTCACCATGTTGGTTGAGAGTCGCCTTTTCATGGACCTGTCTCCTCCACTAGACCATGAGGTCTTGAAGAGAAGGTACCTGATCTTATTTTTCTTTCCACCTCCCAGGATCTAGTGCAGTGTTTGGCACATTGAGAGGGCACTGGATGAATGCATGTGAAACACAGAATGTTGAAATGTCTGAATGTTTCAGTGTCCAGATTGATTCTAGATTGATACCATGCAATCTTCTCTAAACTTTCCAGACTCACTTGGTCCCTAGTTTTCTGAACTTCCATTGTTCTTTTGATCTGTATTGTACATTTGAATAGTTATTGTTATATGCATTGTCTTTTATGACAGGAGCTCGTCTACATATTAGTATATGTGCCCTAACTGCTTTTTCTCCTTTTCATGGCCTACTTTGATGTTTTGCATTGAGCAGGTCTTCAAGAATAATTCTTGAAAGAATAACTGTAAATTGCTCATGATGGTGTCTGTGTTTTGACATTTAGGTGTGTGAGTTCATATTTGGTTGACCTTCATTTGTAGGAATCCTGAGGGATCTTGAATGATGGGACATTCTACCAGAGAGGATTTGAACTTATTTTTTTACCAACTGCCATAGGGTGCTACCAATAGACCATTTCACCTCTTCAGTTTGGAGTTCCTGGACCACATAGGTAGTATAAATTCAAACTCTCAACCTGAATGAGGGCAAGGCAGTTATAATTCTCTGGGAAAGTTTTTGCTCACCTAGAGATAAGGCTAAATTCTTAACTCTGGCAGGTGAACTTTGCTTTTCTAGTCTATTTTTTAAATGAGCATGTCTCTTTTTGAGGGTCCTGGCATTGTGCTGGTGGGCTAGGGGTGCCTTAGTGATTGCATAGGGAGGAAGACCGGTTCTTCCATGGCCTTCAGAGCCTTAAAAGCCAAGGTTCTGGGTTTCTTATATTGGCAGATGCCTTCGAGGAAGCCCAGCTTTAGCTAAAACATTATCTCTAGGTTTTTCCTCTATGTTTGGTACTTGGTTATCTCTCTTCCTTTCTTGCATTCTCAGCTGTGCATTTAAGAGGAATTGTGGTACTTTTATGTTGATTCATAGCTTGGAGAGAGGGCCTATCAGAATGTCTAGTCAGCTATGTTGAGGAAGTGGAAGACCTGTGAAGGTACCTTAATACTGTCTTCAATGGCTCCCTCAAAAAAACAAACTCTCAAGATTTTGCCACAAGCCAAATAAAGCAAAAGTGAAGGTAATAATGGCTTTTGGAATTCACTCTGTTATATTCTGTCTCTGAAGCAATCCGCATGTCTACTTTAAGAGTAAACTTTTAGACTCTCCCTGTAAAAAATACTATGTCCTAACAACTCAGCAGTTGGCATCTTACCAGCAGGAAAGGTCAGGGTGTCCACTTGGAAAGTGACTTTGTAGTCTTCATCCTCCTCCACGCAGCACCTGAAGTGATGGGACCCTGTGCATGGGATTGAAGCTTCCAAAGGATCAACCATGATGTTCGACTCTTGAGGCAGCGGGTGAACAGTGACATCTTTGGTGGTGACACTGTATGAATTCCTATATCTAAATATGCATTGATAGGTTCCTGGATGGAAGGAAGCAAGAATGAGATGAAATTAAGTCATCACTCCCAAAAGGTGTTCGCTGAGATTAAGAAGAGGCTTAGTTGCCCTGTCAAGACTTCCTGGGCAGTGGGTAAGAACATGCTTGATAGACTCCCCTCCTGAGTGCTCTACGTCTGTATTTGAAAGACTAACCAAGGGCCACCTAAATATCCACTTACTTTCAAATAAAATTAAGTGGCTTATCCAAAGTCATACACGCTGTTAGGGGGAATCGGGTTTCAAAATAGGTTCCTGTTACCTACTCCGAGGCTCTCTCATTAACCAGGGAATGAATGGGAAATTTGGTGTGTGCCGGGGTGGCAAGTTCTTTGATGAGAATTAATTGTCACCTAGGTGAAACACTGTGATGCCCTCTCTTTCCATCTCTGAGTAGGCTCCTCAATTTCCAGGACCCCATGGCACCACCAAGAGAGAGAGGGAAAGAGAGAGAGAGAGAGAGAGAGAGAGAGAGAGAGATTTCTTGGGAGTGCTCAGCCTCTGTACTCTGGAATGAGATGTCTGATGTCTCACTCTTATCTAGAAAAGTCTAAAAGTAAGATGCTGGCTGACCTTGCTGAAGTGAAAGGGGAGGCAGCAGCAGGAGTAGCCTGCCTGTCCAGTTTTTGGTGTGGCAGAGTGGACTGTGGACAGTACTTGGGTTGTGTTTCTTGAAAGGACCTTTTCCCACTGAGTATTAGGGCTCATCAGAGGCTGAGCCACCATCTGAGCACCTATCATGGGGACAGTACAGGAGATAAGAAGAGTACCTACAATTTAGTAAGACCCTTTATTTTATTTTTTTATTTTTTATTTTACATTTCTTCTCTTTGTTCCAAGTCTAGAGAAGCCAGAAAAGCAACTAGCTGGTGGGAAATCAGGCAGAACAAAAAACAAGAAGAAACTCCTTTCAATTCTGTTGGGAGGGAAGGGAAATTTAAATTCCATTAAAATGAAAGTGTAGTTGAGTTAGGTAAGACTAGGTTTTTTTAGCACTTGAGTATGAGAATGTTTAATAAATGGCTGTAACTGGGAAAACTATGGCTCCTCCTAAGCTATTGCCCAGTAGAAGGAAAGAGCAACTTGGACAGAACTAGGTGTGAGTTCACCATAGGAGAAAAATACTCCCATTTCCTGATATTTTACTGTAGCCAAACAATAACCAATTATTTCTACAATGTTGCCTGGTCTTCATAGGAAAAAATGAAGAAGACCAGGGACTCACAGAATCCGGGCTGATTAATCTTACAATTAATGAAAGACGTCAGAGTGAAGTGGTTCAGAATTAGCCACTAGCCAGAGTTTCACCCTGGCACTTCCATTTACGAGATGCATAATCTTGGGCAACTTACTTAACCTCACTGAGCCTCAGCTTTTCCATCTGCAAAATGGGTATAATAATAGCATTATCCTCTCAGTTTACTGTTTTAAATGAATTAACACACTTTAACACTTAGGACAATGTCTATCCCATAGTAAGGGCTCAATAAATGTCAGCTGTTATTACAGTAGCTCAATCAATTCTCGTTTCACCCCAAAGATTTGCATATCTTCCCAACATGAATAATGTACAGAGAAATATAGGACATAAAAAGGTTCCTTCCTTTGGATCCAGGCCTAATAAACCTTTTACCTAGATTTTGATGCCGCAATTGGGTGAAACACTACCATGAGTTTGATAAAAGTACCTTTAATAAAAATCCTCTTAACTTCATGGCAAGAGCACGGGCTCTAGAATGAGAGAGACAAGTTCCAGTCCAAGCTTTACAACTTAAGGTATAGGGGCTTAGGTGTATTTATTATCCTTTCTGAGCCTCAGTTTCTACATCTGTCAAATGGGTATAATGACATCCTCCCCCAGGAGGGCTGTTGCATGAACTGTGGATGGGAACTACTGTTGCATGTTTTCCAGGGCTCCGGGCAGCAGAGCAGTACTGGCTTTTCACTCACCGTTCCACTCCCTTGTGGAGCTCCTCACCGTCAGCACTGACTCCGCTTTATCAGCATACCTCCTGGTGGTGTAAAACCTTTGGTGTATTTTAATTCCAGCGGAAGTTTTCCAATACACCTCATCATAGTTACTCACATCACTGATGCACTTTATAGAAAAGTTTTGTCCCTCAGAAACAGAAATTGGGTCCGGGGTTATTGTTAAGTTGGCTGAAAGAATGCAAACAAAACAGACAAAAGAAAACCGACAACAAGCACAATGTTTAGTCTTTCTGGTGCCATCAACACAGGAGTGAAATTTAAGACAGAGACAGGAAGCGGGGACCGTCCTGCCTACTGTGTCACCGCGGGATTGGTACCTTGCTGCTCCTGCGCTTTATTTGTTTCTAGGCTGATCCTGGTGGTGCTCTGAACTGTACTCATTTCCATCACATGCCTCAGGAGCTCCTTCACTTCCCCTTTGTGGCTGGATTTATCTCCTGATGGTCGGCAGGGCGAAAGGTTGCAAACTTAGGGATGTTGACTTCACCCAAGCTCCCCTCCAACCTCTTCCACGACACCGCAAGGGACACCAAGTGTCTCAGCGACACCACGTTGTATTTTAATTTCTTGCTTTCTATATTTCTTCTCCATAAAAATGCGAGCCCCGCAAGCACAGGACTCTCTCTTCTGTGTCTTTGCATCCCCAGCACTTAATCCCTAGATCTAGCACTGAGTCTCGGTCCAAGCAAGAGTGATTTCTGAAGCTACATTTTAAGTAGCTTAAGGGATCACTGGACTGTCTCGGGCGAGCGGGGCCATATAGGCACCCTGACCATAACTCTCTGCATTTCCTCCTCTTTCTGAGAATTTCCTCATAGGTTCATGAGGATTTATTCACTGAGAATGTTAACAAGGACTTTACAAATATAAAAACTTGTATGAATGCCCCACTAGTTTTGCCTCTGGCTCTTAGAGCATATCTTTTACAGGGGTGACATTTCAAAATGCCATTCATTTCTGTCTTTTTTAGGTGAACAATTCGTGCCTGGAGTTCACTGAGGCTGCCTGCTCTTCCAATCAGTGTATTAATCTCCTCCTCAGTCACCATCAGAAAAATCAGGGGTCTCCATAATGCCCTTTAGAAGTTGGGATTCAAGTGTTCAGATACAGCCCCAAAGTCACAAAGCGTGATTAAAGCGTCCCTGGCGGTGCCCTACTGGCTGCAGTGACCTCGGGATAGCTGTCTGAGGTGGAGTGGCTTCTGCAAGAGAGAAAAGGCAAAGGCTCCTGGACCTGTGAATCCCATTCTCTTGATTCTCAGCGGAGGTCCAAATACCAGCCCAATGGTTTTCATCGGAGGCTAAACATGCCCCTAAGACAACCAAAGCTCACCTAAGGACACAGGTCCCAGTGTGGAACCGTGCCATCTACAACTGTGCTCACTACAGACAACGGCACATTGCTCAAAAGACCCATGAACTACAGAAATAATGTTTTTCAGATAAACCTAATCTTGCTCTTTATAAAAATGCCAGGTCACAATAACAGGAAATGTGAGCAAGAGTAACAAGTCCATTGATATATAAGTCCTTCCTCCAACTTGTTCATGATTTAGCTGCATAGTTCGTTTTTCTAAGATGGATGGCAAAACAACTTTGACTGCCCTCTTTTTGCAGAGAGGGCTGAAGTTATGATGCTTTATGATATGAGGAGAAGAACTTGTATTTTTAAGGGGCCTAAATAAGCTGAATTAATTGAAATATTAAAAAGTACTTGTTACAACTGTAAAATAACCTCCAAGTGCCAGGTTGTTAAGCTTTCTGAAGCATGCGTCCTAGATTAGATGACAGGGGAGCGAAGGGTGGTGGGGAATGAGCCAGGTTAAGGGAAGGAGAATTCAAGGGAGGGAGAATGAAACTGTGGAAGGGAAAGGGGGGAAACTAGGGGCATCAGCCTCCTTGTAAACTCAAGATTAAATAGGACTAATCTAAGTGTAAAACTACTTCCTGGCCCACTTTCTGCACCGGCACAAGGCAGGCTGTAGCCTCTCTGCAGCCAGCTGCCCAGCCTACCCTTCCCCATACTGAAGATTTCGTGTGAATTGAAATGACACAGAGGGAAATCCTCTCCTGTTCCCCATTCTGTGACTCACCCCAACCACCCCCCCCCCCACCACCACCACCAGGGAAGGCCCTGCTTTATGGCTCAGGGATATTCCTAGTTGATTGGCAGCCCTGGGTTTGAGGTGAAAATGCTAGTAAGAGTCCTTACCCACAGATGTGAATGTCACTTCTATGTTCTTACTGCCTCGGGCTCCGTGGAAGCTGATGAACTCACACGTGTAGGTGACTGTCCTTCCGGCCGACCCGCTGGGACACTGACTCCCGTCAGCCTTGAGGGTGTACCTGCTGCAGCTGGAATCTGATTCTGCTTCAGAGTTTCCTGCAATGACACAGGCAGTTCTTTTGCTGTCACAAGGAGGCCGAGTCAGTGAAAAAGAGTTATTAATTAAGTTAGGTTTCTTCTCTCTGAATGGAGAGGTGACAGGAATATGTAGTGGTTAGGCCTGCAGACTTGGGAACCAGGTTGCCTGGCTACAGATCCCAAACTCAAGCAATTACTGGCAGGGCATTGCTGAGAAAGTCACTACACTGCTCTGTGCCTCAGGTTCTCCAAATGCAAAATAAGGAGAAATAATAATAACCACAGCCCAGGATTGTAGTTAGGTGCAATGAGTTAACATAAAAAACAATTGATCTCACTCATTTGTGGAATATAATGAACAACATAAACTGATGAACAAAAATAGAACCAGAGACATAGAAGCATCAAACAGACTGTCCAACCTATGAGGGAAGATGGACGGCGGGGGGCGGGTGGGTTGGGGAGGAGAGGGGGTAAGAGATCAACCAAAGGACTTGTATGCATGCATATGAGTATAATCAATGGAGACAGATAGTAGTGGGGTGAGGGCATGTGCTGGGGGGTGGGAGTGGACAAGGGACAAGGAGAGGTCAATGGAGGAAGAAGGAGACTCATGTAATATTTTAAACAATAAAGAATTTAAATTAAAACAAAAATAAACACTTAGACTGGTGCCTGGCTGGGGCCTGCCCCATTAGTGACGGTTGTTAGAATGTGAAAAATAGAGAAAGAAAACCAAGGTCTTTGAACATGATTTCCACTGGAAAGAAAAAATCAGGTTACTTAGATTGTTATTATTATTATTGAAAGGAGAAAGAAACAAGACTGGAACCGTTGATATTCATCTCATTTGAAAAATGTTTTCATAGTTTTTTCCATCTTATTAGTCTATATGCTTTATTGGAAGCTTTAGCTTCATGCTTTCTCAGCTTAGCAGCTGTTTCCCCTTCAAAATAGATCCTCTTCAATACCTTGCTTGTCATTCCCAGAAGCCATGCCCTCCAAGGCCTCTTTACTTCTTGCCCATGGCTCTGTAACCCTCCTGGTGAATGTTTTCTACTCCACTCTTTCCTTCTTCTAATATCGCCTACTATCAAGAACTCCTAAAGCATCCTTCAAACACTGCCAACCTTCCAAAAATTAAAGAAAAAGAATAAACCTTCTGATCAGCTCCAGCATAAATGCATCGTTTTCAGCCCTAGCTGGATAATCAGTGATGTTTGAAATACTTTGATTGATACGTAACCAGCTTTTCTCCCCAGTCTCCCAAAAGGTTCAAAACATGAAATTGATTTTCATCTTCACCCACTTGACTAAATTACCTCCTAGCTCATAGGCACAAGTGTCCCTACTTATCTCTATAGCTCAATCCTCCACTTCTTTTTTGCAAATCCATGTCTTCCAATTTCCCCAGGCCCTATGCCATCCTTTAACTCTCCTCTCCCTCATGTCTTTAATCTTTCCTTGGGCTCTTTCATGCTAACCACCAGGTCTTGTCTTCCCTTTCTAAAATAACTTTCCTAATCTGGAAGCTTCTCTAGCCATCACTGCGTTTTTGTCCTCTCTTCATACCACAAGGCTTCTGCATTTGTCACCTTTAGTATTCAACGACTTTTTATCAAACTGCTGTGATTTACCTTCTTTTCCTTATTCTCCACTTAAAGTGCTCCTGTAAGGCCCCCTGTGATTTCCTCTTTCCCAGGCTCAGTGGCTTCTTCTCATGCTACCCATTCTGCTGACCACCTTCTCTGTGACATGGCTACTCAATTCCACAGTCTCTCCTGCTCCTCTTCTCTCTTCATCCCTCCTTCTGGGTCTCCTTCCCAGGCTCCTTGCCTTTGTTCCCTTCGTAAATATTGGTGTTCCCAAAGATATTGGCCTTGCCCAAGCACTCTGATATTGCCCTGTTCTTACCTTTATCTCTACTGTTTCACCGGGGAATGTCATCAACACCATGGCTCCTATTATATCCTGTATTTGGATGACTCTCCACTCTAGCTCTAAGAGAAACACTCTCTCCCTGGCCGGTGTGGCTCAGTTGGTTGGGTGTCTTTCTGAGCACTGAAGAGTTGCTAGTCTGATTCCAAGTCAGGGTACATATCCGGATTGCTGGCTTGATCCCCAGTAGGGGGTGTGCAGGAGGCAGCCAATTGGTGTTCTGCTCTCACATTGATGTTTTTCTCTCTCTCCCTCCCCCTTCCTCTCTCTCTAAACAATAAATTTAAAAATATTTTAAAAGAGAGAAACACTTGTGTTGGAAACTCTAGAAGTGAATTCCCAAGTGTCCGTTTGATATTTGCGGCATCTCCAATTCAACATGTCCAACTCATCTTTCTCCTCCCCCGACAAAAGCCTGTATATCTTCTCATGTGTCTTTTCTTTCCCAATGGCAGCTCATGAAATTTAAAATCTTAAGGTTATTTTAAATTACTTGCATTTCCCTCACATTCCACTTCCAACCAGTTGTAAAAAATGTTTAGGTTGTACTTCTAAATCATCTCATAACTGTCTTATCCACTCCAACTCATGGTCACTAACCTGGGCCCCATTATCCGTATTCTGCTAATTGCATGCTGTTGTAAGTGGGTCTCTATTTTTGGTTATTTGGTCCTTCAATCTATTGGCTATACTACCTCAAAATTTATTTTTAGTTTTTAAATTTTATTTTTTCTAAAGTTCAACCCCTATCATCGGACTTCTCTCCTTTTACCTTTAAATCTTACCATTGCTTTCAAAACAAACTAAAATCTCCTTAGTGTGGTATATGTATTTATTCACATATGCTTTCAACTGCCTCTGTACTCTTTTTTTTTTTTTTTTAAATATATTTTATTGATTTTTCACAGAGAGGAAGGGAGAGAGATAGAAAGTTAGAAACTTCGATGAGAGAGAAACATCGATCAGCTGCCTCCTGCACATCTCCCACTGGGGATGTGCCCGCAACCCAGGTACATGCCCTTGACCGGAATCGAACCCGGGACCTTTCAGTCCGCAGGCCGACGCTCTATCCACTGAGCCAAACCGGTTTCGGCCCTCTGTACTCTTTATCTGATTCTACATCACTTTCTTAAAAACTAGATCAAGTCCTTCAACATGCCTATAGCTTCACACCCTATGTGTTCACACCTGTAATATTGTCCTTCCCTCATCGTGTTGACTCTTACTCATCCTTCAAGCCCAGCTTTCTCACCAAGCTAATGTGCAAGAAAATGAGCTACAAAGAATGGGGCATATAAAGACATGTACAGAAATAATTATAATATCTAGTAGATAGGTTTCATAAGAGAGAAGTAATTACAGTATGAAGATTAAAGGAGGGAAGTTTTATTTGGAAGATTTCAGAGGAGAGGGAAGATTTGTTCTAGGCCTTGAAAGACATAGATGGAAATGGTGGCTGTGGTGTTCTGGTGTGCAGTGAGGGTGTGTGGGGGTGTGTATGAATCAGTACTCCTTGGAGAACGTGGTGTTCTGTGAACCTGTTTTAGGAGTTGGGGCTGGCTTAGGAGTAATAAGCCATGTGGGCTCTAGCCCCGCCTCCCTCCCTCCCCCCTCCCCCCCCCCCCCCCCCCCGCAACCCTTTCTCTAACTCAAGCAGCTCCATTCTGGTCTGCCTTATGCATTAGACATTTGGTCTCAATCAGGGGTGATTTTGCCTTTTGGGGGGGACACTTGACCATATTAGGGGACATTTTTTGGCTGTCACAACTAGGGGTGCTCCTGGCATCTAGTGAGTAGAGACAGGGATTCTGATAAACACCCTGCAATGTACACGACAGCTACCCTCAGCTGAGAATGATTTGGCCCAAAATATCACTAGTGCTGAGGTGAGGAGTCCCCGAGTTAGACAAACACACAGATTTTACGCCAAGGAAAAATTCTACAGTTAAATCAGAAATTACAGGTGGAAGCCAAAGCACAGAAGCAGCAGCGTGCTGGTCTTGCTCAGGAAAAAACAGTAGTTCTGTGAGGCTGAACCCTATAGCGTGGAGATAAGGCTCCAGAGAGATGGCAAATTCAGAAAACAAAGGTGGGAACTCTGAACTGGCAGCATTCCCATTGTATTTCATACAACACCATGGGGCTGTGCACCTCGGGGTCCTGCCTGGAGGGTACTGAGTGCAGCTGATAAGCTGGTACTGTGCTTTCTGGAGAAGAGATGGTATGCAATTACACATTTGCTGCTCAAGATTAGATCATATCCGATGAAAATTTCCCACCAACCACGCTGAGGAAAAGTGAGGGGCTGGTTTTTAAAGCTATCATCATGATCAGAAAATAGTTATTGGGGCAGACTCAGTGCATTCAGGTCTATTTTAAATATTTTACATTGACCATCTCAGTGTTTCTCCTCTCTTGTAAAGTAGGTACCATTATCACTATTTAATGGACGAAGGCCTGGGAGTCCACAAGGTGCCCCACCTTGCCCTGCATTAGGACAAGGGCACGTGGCTGAGTTGGGATCACAACTTCCCGAGACTAGACACTGTCCTACTGAAAAGAACAGGGTGTAGGCTCATTATTCCAGGACTGAAGACTTGGCACAAGTCCTTTCTTCTTCTTTTTTTAAAATCCAAATTGGTGGGCATTCCTTCAAGTAGAGGAATCACTATTTAAAATCGGATTTTTGTGTGGCATCGCTAGGAACAGAGAACGACATGGAGGAGAAAGAGAAAGAGCTGTGGGTGAGGAGGGAGCCCTTTGCCACTGTCATGCAGACTTGTCCTCCTGCGTAAATGAGGGATTAGACTAAGTTCGCGGCTCCTGCTACCCTTCGCCCAATAAAATCTCCAGTGACATTTAAGAACTTATGCCACTGCCTAGAGCCCAAACCCAATTCCAATTTAGTTGCTCTAGAGTGAAGCCCTGACACCTGGTCTTCTTAAAAAACCAAACCAAAAGGGTGACCCTTTCTTGCCGCCAGGATGGAGAATGCTTCAATACTTCCAGTTGCTTCTCTACTTTGGTCTCACCTCAGTCCCTGAGGCAGGCGGACTCCTAGTGGCACTTTATAAAGTGTAGCTGAATGGATAAGAAAAGAAGACCCATATATATTCTCTCCAGGGAGACCCACCTCAGGACAAAAGATACACACTGACTAAAACTAAAGGGATGGAAAAAGATATTTCATGCTAATGGAAAGGAAATAAAAGTTCTGGTAGCAATACTTATATCTCATAAAATAGACTTTAAAACAAAGGCTATAGTAAGAGGCAATGAAGGACACTACATAATGACAAAGAGGGCAATCCAACAAGAGGATATAACCCTTGTAGACATTTATGCACCCAACATAGAGGACCTAAATATGTAAAGCAAATCTTGATGGACAAAAAGGGAGATTGATAGTAATACAGTCATAGTAGGGGGTTTTAACACTCCAGTGACATCAGTTGTTAGATCTTCCAGACAAAAGACCAACCAGAAAATGGTGGCCTTCAATGACTCACTAGATCAGATGAATTTAATTGATATCTGCAGAGATTCTATCCCAAAGCAGCAGAATATCATAAGAAATAAAACCTGAAAAATACACACGAACATGGAGGTGACATAAAGTGACACAAACAGCACAAGACGGATTTCTATTCAAGAAGGGAAAAAGAGTGGTCTCACTTCTTTATCTCTTCCTCATGCTATTTGGCTGCAAAACTAACATTTCAGACAGCGCACAAGCATGCACAATAACATAAGCTTAAAAGCGTAAGTGGGGCAATTGGGAAGAGGAGACAAAGAAGGGAACGGTGGAATCTGAGGCTGTCCCTCCCTCACCAGTCACTCGGTGCTCCTGCCGTCACACCTCTGTCAGCCAGCCAAGAAGGGGCTGACACCCTCTAGTAAAGATTCAATTGCTTTATGAGTAATCTGCATGAGATGAGTCAGGAAATAGGGTAGGCAGGGCCAGGAAGAAGTTTATGAACTCATTTGGGAACCATCCTAGCTTCTGGGCAAAAGGGAATTCGACTTCATTATGTTTTACCACCATGCCCCCTAAGAAGAGCTATGATGACACTATCAACACTGTTGTCCTTCAATTCCCCCAACTTGTCAATACATTCCTGCACAGTCAAAGCTAGTGTTGGATATAGAAAAACGAGAAGCTATGCTAATAATAATAACTATTTTTACCTCTACTATTACTACTCCTAGTAGCAGCATTAATACTACAGTAGTCCCTCTTTATCCGCAGTTTGCTTTCTGCTATTTCAGTTACCCACAGTCAACCATGGCCTGAAAATATTAAGAAATATTTTGGAAAATTCCAGAAATAAACAAATCATAAATTTTTATTGCACTTCAATCTCAGTAGCACGATGAAACCGTATGCACGCTGTATGTAACAGTACAATTAGATATTTAGAGAGAGACCATATTTACATAATCTTTATTACCATATATTATCATTGTTCTATTATTAATTATTAATGCTAATCTCTTACTGTGCCTAATTTATAAATCAAACTTTATCATAAGTATGTATGTCTAGGAAAAAAACAGTATATCTAGGGTTTGGTACTCTCCACAGTTTCAGGCATCCATGGGAGGTCTTAGAACATATACCCGTGGATAAGGGGGGCAACTGTATTACTTCTGATACCATTATTATTAATATCATAGTTGGTGTCTGTTGATTTGAAAAACTGCAGAAATCCCTCCCTATTCAACAGACCCTCTCCCCTTAAAGCTAGAAATCCTACCTTTGCTGATCACTTCTTTCTGTCTTATTTCTTGCCAGAGTGTTTTGAAAATAACACTATGTGTTTCTGAGACGAGGTAACACGTTCAGTTCCACATGTTTGGGGTGAATTAGTCAGCTAGATTGTTTCTTACTGGCCTGGAAAAATGGTTTCTGAATCACCTGTAGAACTTGGAGCAAAATTGCTGCAGAGAGGGGGCAGTCAGGGTGGGGGAAGAAGGGCAGGGTGCCCAGAGCAGAGGCTAAACTCATCAGAGTACTGATTTCTGCAGCTCCCCAGGCGGCCAGCCCTGTGACAGGAAACCCATTGTTCTGAGGCCGCTGAGCCCGCACTGGGCATGGGGACAATCTGAAGAAGTGGTGGCCACGGAGAGGTCTCTGAGCATCTGCACCGCAGACTTCCTGGCTCGTCTGCCAGAGGGCGATGCTTTTCACCTCTCACCCTGGAGAGCTTATGCGCTTTCCCAGGAACTTTGCAAAGCCTTTCTCCCAGCTGGCGGTTCCTTCAGGATGCCCACACCTCCTCTTCCTTCACAATCAAGGAAGTGACTACGCGGACCAGTGTCAACATTCCAGCACTTACCAGATGCCTTTCCCATTCTTCTGGGGGCTTTAAAGTCCAATACAAACAGCAGCTGAGATGGGCTTTACAAAAGAGGCGTGCTCGGGAAGAGGTGCGTGCCAATCGATCATTATTTTGTATTTCATAATTTAATATGGTCGGATAGCAAAGGCTTTGTAAAATAAAGTCTCCACCATCACGGATGTATTTCAAGGGGGGAAGCCACACTTCACTGGAATGATTTTTTTAGGGTAAATATGGACACTTAATACTGTCATTTCTGAAGGGGAGGGTTGGGTATTGTTATATGAGGGCTTGAGGCGGAAAGCAGGCTCTGCCTCTGTGCACACTGCCGGGTCAGTGCGCCCCAGCCCTGGCCCACCAGGCATGGAAAGAGAGTTTGGCCCAGATAAACACCGGTCTTGTGACACGCGGCTTGAAGTGAGTCCCAGTCCTTTGCCTTTTCCTATTGTGACAACTGTGACTAAGTCATTTAATTTGGATCCCAATTTCTTTTTGAAAACTGGATGGAAAAAACCCTCCAGCTTCCAACTTGTGGTCAAGTTTAAAATGTGATTAAAAGTAATAACGTGTTGTTGTTGTTTTTTTTTTTTTTTTTTTTTAAAAAATTGGTTTATCACAAACTGCTATGGCAAACAGAGTTAGTACTGCTATTTTAATTTATTAGGAGTAGGATTGTCATTCACCAGTGTAAACTGGGGGGTGGGGGACTTCAGTTAGATCTCAGATCTAAAATGAAAGCAAACGGTTCAGAAATGGACATGAGACAATTGAGAGGTAAATAGGCCTACACAGGGAGATAAAAAACAAACAAACAAAACAAAACAAACAAACAAACCAGAGACACATAATTAGATAACATAGAAGAAACTGTGGATAAGAAGGCAGAGAAGTGAGAAGAGACATGGAAGGAGAAGTTCCAAGTCAGACTCCAAAGCAAAGGTGCTGACCTCACCCTTCGCTCTTTGCTGAAATTGGAAAGGCTAGGAAGGTTGGGACAAGCTTTTCCGTAGGCAGCAGCCTTCATGGGCCTAAGTCATCATGTCACTCCCTCTTGGATCTTCTCTGCCAGGATCTTGACGACCCAAGCATGACACATATGCACATATGTTTTTGGAATTTTGTTCTTGAATGGCTAAGAGAGGGGTGGCCTCAAGCCTAGTACTTTTTCACAGTCTGAAGTCTAGAAAGAAACGCCCATTGAACATTTCCTCTCCCACCCACGGCATCTCCCATATTTCCTTGGCCACGAAAGGGCATCCGACATTCTTACCTGGAATGGTGATCTCCCCCTCCTGCTTCCATTCCACTTTGCTCCAGTTCACATTGATCTCACTGCAGCAGTTCAGGGACACGGGACTGTTGTCACACGTCACCTTCATGTCTTCACTTGCAAAAATTCGGATGGGGGTCACATTAATCTTTTTTCTGGACTCATATTCAAAAATATCCATGGTCAGTTTGCAAATATATTCACCTGCATGGAATACACGGAAGCATTCGTTACTATGAGTAGATTGCTATTGATACTTAGAAGAAGGACAGCCTCGGGGCATGTGTCATGACAGTGCTTCGAGAAACATCCTTTTCAAACGCATCTGAGACTTGGTCTATCAGCCCTGAAGGAACGTTCAGGAAGTGCGAAGGCCAATGAAGGTACTTCTGATGGCACAAGGCCATCTCACTCTTGTTTCTTACTGGTAAGTAAAACGTGTGGGGGTGACAGAGGTGGGAAGGAAACACTGGAAAGCCTTGGAGAATTGGAAGACTGGGTAACTCTGGCATTCTACTGAGCTCTGTGGCAAAATCAGAATCCACAAAGATGTGATAGTACCCAGGTGTCTGCCACCCAACGTCATTCACAGAAAAAGGTCCCCCTGTTAGCCTCTGGACTCTCGGGGGCTTATTAAATTCTAGTATGTCAGCTTTAAGACTTGTGCTCTGAGGGTGCTGGGGAGAGGGGCAAGGAGGGGCAGGTAGAAAGGATTGCAGTAGAGGACAAGGAAATTTTGAGGGGAGGTGATGGAAATGTGTACTCTTCCGATTAGGACGATAGTTTCAGAGGTACACATAGATCAAAACTTACTAAATTGTTCGCTTTAAATATGCACAGTTATTATATGTCCATTCTACCTCAACAGAGGTGTTTTAAAATTTTTAAAAATTAAGAGCATAAGTCTGGTTTTTTTGTGTCAGGTTCCAAACTCCTAAGTTTCAGTAAATGTGGAAAACTGTGCTTGTCTCCCAAGACTAATTTGCTTGGCTTGATATGCCATGGGATTGACTTTCAATTTGGAAAAGTCGAGCTCGGTGACTCCTTTTTGAAGATGAAACGCTCTCTACACGTTCTTAAGTCTGTTCTCTCAGAGCCCTTCATCCCTTCCCCCGCCACCCCACCCCAGTGAGTTACTGGGCAGACACCCACCCGCGTCCCCCAGGGTGATGTTGAACACGGTGAGGCGTGACACGGAGGTCAGATTGTTGAGCACGGTGGTGTACACCCAGAACCGGCTGCCGTTCTGGATGTTGGCGTGCTTCCCCACGTGGTGCCAGGACACGTTGGAGGACAGAACGTCATTTTCGCACACCAGAGTTACCGTATCCCCTTCAAAGATGATTTCTGGTGTGACAAAGAACCTGGTTTCATCTGGAAACCCAAAGAAAACAATTAGTAGGGTTCCAAAGCAAATAAAGGCAACTACTACTACTCACCAGACGCCACTCCACAAGGTTCTCAGGAAGTCGCCACAGCATCTCATCTGTGATGCTCCCTAGATGGAGGCAACATGTCCTCCTCCCTCCATCCCTGGGCAGCTGTTCTCTGCGGCCCAAGGAGTGAGAGCCCACCAGTTTTGCACGACTAGGGACACGACTTCCAGTGTGGGGTCTTTGCACACTTAAGAGTCCCCAGTGGCAGTAATGGGGATCCCAAGTATATTTTTAATATTTCAAATAGTCTGGCAGAAAATTGCAAGCTACCTTGGGAGGTGACTTAGGGGAACAGTAGCTATTGTTATTGTTTTCACAGTAAAACTCTGGAGAGCCATTGCATGATGTAATCCCCTGGATAAAAACACACAATTTGTTATTTCTGTATGTCCTTCTAAGGTGGCCCTGTTTTTACACAACAGGCGGTTCTCCCTCTAAGTGGTGCCTTGTGCATGTCTCTCCTGCGGTCCATGAGGGGAGGGGTTGGAGGAGCTGGGGCAGGAGGCACTATGAGCCTCTTTTGCATGGGCTTCCTGCTCAGACCAGACTTCTCCACACTGTAAACGGGGAACTCAAACACCATACAACTCATTTCGGGTGGTCTGATGTTCTGCTCAAAATGTCAAGGTATCTAAATATTTCTTACCATTTATTTTAGGTTCCTCTTTAGGTTTAAGATTTTTAAAAAGCACATTCAACCATTAGGAATCAAGGCCACCTATGAATAGTTAGCACAGTGAACTGGCTTTGAAGTCACACACACTTGTGTTACTTACTATAGTCCTGGAGCAAATTATTTGCCCTCTCTAAGCCTCCATTTCCTCACCTGTAAAATGAAGATAGTAATATTTGCCTCAGGGAATATATACAGATGAAATATGTGGAACACACTGGGCTTACCATAGAAAAGGTACAATAATAGCGCCCTCTTTTCATTACTATCATTGCTAATAACTATCACCAGTAAAACCGCCAGGATCATATGGTTGTATAGAACTGATCATAAATTTATTGGCAGTGATTAAAGAAAGGGATGTCTAGTTAAGGGACCCTGCTGATTAATCGAGGATCACCAGAGGGTTAACATATGACAAAACCAATGGAACTGTTCTAAAGATTGCCATCAGCTTTTTGTGTTTCATAAAGACAGATTTTAAAATGGGTTCCTGTCCTAACCGGTTTGGCTCAGTGGATAGAGTGTCGGCCTGCGGACTCAAGGGTCCAGGTTCGATTCTGGTCAAGGGCATATACCTTGGTTGTGGGCACATCCCCAATAGGGAGTGTGCAGGAGGCAGCTGATCGATGTTTCTAACTCTCTATCCCTCTCCCTTCCTCTCTGTAAAAAAATCAAGAAAATATATATTTTTTAAAAAATGGGTTCCTGATACCAACTCATTCACTCAGCATTTTTCTTTCTTGTTCTCTTCCTCTCCCCTGTCCCTCAGATACAATTTTGTAAAAGCACGCAGTCACTTGAATTTTTTGATATTTGTATTCTGGGTAAACGCCACCAATACTATGGAGAGCAGGGCGGTGTCTGCGCACCCCATAAGTTCATGTTTCGTGGTCTAAGGCTGAGTACATCACAGACTCACATTCTGGTCTGTGAAGGAGGACAGAGATGGATGTAGATCCTCTGCAGAGAGGGGAGTCGAGTACCATTCCCAATGACTTCATTGCTCTTTGGAATAATAAGCCATGGATACTAAAGCACCTTTAGTTCTGGACTGACAGCCACTGATCAGTAAGTCTGCTGCATTTTATTCATTTAAATGTCTGACTATCCTCAGCGCAACTGAAATTTTGGGGGAAAAATAATAATACTTGAAGAACACCTATGCAAGAAACTACTCCTCTCCTATTCCCTCAGAACAATAAATAAACATAACGTTTCAGGGGTGATATTAGGGGTGAAGATGTGGCATTGCTAAAATTGCTTCTGTGTGAGTCCACACTTTTAGGCCACTTATTCCACCCCCCCCTTTTTTTTTTCAACTTTCTGGGTTTCATTAGTTTGTTCTGAAATTTTCCCTTATTTATCCTGAATTTTTATTTTGCTATTTTATCTTGCATCTGTTGCAGCACTTTCTTACCATTGTGTATATCTCTTTCAATATTTTATTTTATAAAAAGATCCGCTGTTAAAAATACCAGCAGAGACTGTAAAGAGAAAGAGCACAAACCTGCTGTGAGGACAGCCTAACCGCTCAGAAGGGCACCCTGCCTCACAGTTGTGCCCTTGGCCCTCTTTGCTCTGTCCTCCCCCACGGTGGACCACGCTGCGCCAAAGAGGAACTACCTTTACTTGGGAACCATGGGCCTGTGTTATCCAGGACATCTACCAGCCAAACTCCGGCCTGCCAAATCTCTGCCCAGCCAGCTCCCCTTGCTACCCCTTGGGCAACAATATAGGTCCACACCTCCTAACACAACAGAGCCCAGCACTGTGGCCCATTTGTAAAATGTAGGAGAACATCTAAAATCCCAGGACTCTCACCACTGTTAAATGTGATCCAAAGCAGGGGTTCTCAAACTTTCCTGGGCATCAAGTCGCCTGGAGGGCTTGTTGAAACAGATTTGCCCCGCTTGGTCTGGGGTGGCCCCAGCAATTTGCATTTCTAACAAGTTCCCCTGCAGTGCTGATGCTGCTAGTCTGGGGCCACACTTTGAGAACCACTGCTCTAAAATAACAGCGGCCCTCTATTTAATACCAGGGCACTTCATGAATATCCCAACCTGCACCACCATGTTGGTTGTATTTTTTGGCTATCTTGGGCCTGTTACAGTAATTTTTAAAACCCATAATGGCTCTGTGGCCTCCTTGCAAAATCTCTCCCCTGGCAACCTCTCCCCTAGCTACAGTGAATTAGCCTTGTTGAGAGGCTCTGCACCAGCCTAAGGCAGGGAGATGGCACATAGACCTCTATGCTGGGGACCGGAGACTCTCCTCACAGGGGACATCACAATGTAATTTCGTAGATTTCAGCATAACAGTAAACACCCTTGTCATATCTAAATGGAATCATTGCACAGGGGAAAAAAATGTAGCGACATCTACTTACTACTAGTCACTGCTTGGAAGGAAGTGAAGTCCATTTTGTAGGTCTGATTGAGGTTCTGTGTGACCAGCTCATTCGCTCTGTGCATTACTCCAGGGGATGGTGTTGTAGTTCTGATTTCATATGCCACAACCACACTTCCGGGCCTGGACGGAGACCACGCAGTTCAGTAAAGCAGTGACTGACCTGGAAGAGTCTAGAGCAGCGGTTCTCAACCTGTGGGTCGCGACCCCTTTGGCGATCGAACAACCCTTTCACAGGGGTCGCCTGAGACCATCCTGCATATCAGATATTTACATTACGATTCATAACAGTAGCAACATTACAGTTATGAAGTAGCAACGAAAATAATTTTATGGTTGGGTCACAACATGAGGAACTGCATTTAAAGGGCCAGAAGGTTGAGAACCACTGGTCTAGATCCTTATGGTTTATTTGTATGAGAAAACAAAACGGCAGGAAGGGTTCACTGATCTCAATGTGTTTTCGAACTCTAATGGAAAGCCTGAGGCAGGGCGTGGACACTCCACTGTATGCAGACAGGTAACATAAATAACAAAATAGCCAGACAGGGGTGAGTGAACGAATCACATAAACTGGCCATAGAGTGGCAGCCACATGCAGAGAGTTGTCATACAGCCATGCTGGCCCAGGGTTGCCAGGGAAGCTTAATGTAAGTGAAGCAAAAATCCTCACTGTCTCACATTCTTAAAATTTAACATTGGCAACCAACTGTTTGAAAAACTGTGTAAACCCTCTCAGGTCGGCCAGGGTGCACAACCCTAGGGGGCACCACCCACATTGCAGCAGCCTGCACCTGTGGTCCTGGCTGGCCAACTTTTCTTGAATAAATGCATCATTGTGTGACATTATTTCACTTTTGTATTTCTGAACTCCCTAAACTACAAACTTACCCCATATCTTTGTAAAATTCTTGTGTGCATAGAATGAACATGAGTCCTTTTTCACCTTCCTTCTAAGTAGCTGCCTCTGTAAGGAGTGAGCTACAATTCTCAGTATTTTGGCCACTTTCAGCCCCAGCATTCTGCCCCTGTTGAGTGTCCCAGATGACACCCCTCTAACGGGCTTTTCCTCCTTCACTGATGTGTTGGTCTGTGCCATTAGATAGAAATGACCCAACTACAGCATTCTTACCTGAACCCGGTCACAGTCACCAATTTGAAGCCAGGTAAAATGCTGTAACCTTTCCGGAACTGAAAAATAAAGCAGACAGTGTCATGTAGCAAGGTCCAATGACAGAGATGTCAAAGATTAGAAACAGGGTAAAAAGCACATATTCCTGTTCACCCTGAGAGAAATCTCCTCCTGTGTATGTTGTTAGCTCTGGCATCAGCTGATCTCTGAAGAAGTCATTCCTATTATCTACCTCTGAAATTCTATGTTCTCTAAAAAGCCAACACCAGGTTAAATGTAGAAACATTTACTCAGGAAAACAACTAGGAAAGAATATGGGGGGCCTTGCTGGTGTGACTCATTGGTTGAACCTTGGCTCATGAACCAGGAGGTCATGGTTGGATTCCCCGTTAGGGTGCATGCCCGGATTGAGGGCTCATTCCCTAGTAGGGGGTGTGTAGGAGGCAGCTGACCAATTATTCTCTCTCATCATTGATGTTTCTATCTCTTTCTCCCTCTCCCTTCCTCTCTCTAAAATCAATAAAAAAGTATGTATTCAAGAACAAAGAATATGGGAGAGACAGCATGAAGGCAGAGAGAGCCATTTAACCCTAAGTGGGAAAGAGTGGGAAGGAAGGTTGGATGAAACCATCCTAGACTGCGTGTGGGAAGGTTCGGGAAGGCCTTCAAAGCGGTCTGTATCTGGAAGATGTAGACCTTCTGAGCTCATTCATTAGTAGTGAGCAACAAGCACTGTCATGGCCGTCAGAGGCAGCAGCTGGGGCCCTTGGTCAATTACATTCCCTGCAGTTGGAGATCTAGGAGGTACACTCTTAAGGCCACCACACTGCCTCATGCCTCACTTAACATATTGCAGTGCTGGTTGAGCCAATGTGGTTTATGATGATGTTTTTACCAAAGTTCGTTCCTCTGAATACCAACCCTATAGGAAATTCAATTTGACTCAAGTCACATGTACAGGACAGATGCGATGTGCAAAGCACTCTGTACCAGGTACCTGCATGGGGGGATCCAGAGTTTAGTATGTAACTCTCTTCCTCAAACATACATGATTTTGCATGTGGTTGTGTGCATGAGAAGGAGTCTCATGCTGTGTAGAACTATTACATGCCAGATATGTAAATCAGATGTCCAAGAGCTCTACGGCATCAGCACTCTAACATGGCACCCATGGAAAATGATAATATTTGTGTGGCACGCCCAGGTCAGTTCCTGACCTGCTCCTGGCCTGAAGCAGGAGCTCAGCTGCCCAGAGAGTTAGGGAAGTGATTATCTCAGGCTACCGGTAATAATTTGTGCCATACCAGTTGGGATGGTCTATTCCAAATAAGTTAATTCAAGTAAAGCATTTAGGTTTAGATAAAGTCATCCAATGTAATGCACTGACAATAGTGTCTGGCACAAAGTTAACACTAAGGGAATAGTCTCTATTTTCATGGGAGTAAATTTAAATCTGGCTTAAGTGTAAATGCCTCTGAACTGTTAGCATAGAGTGATTTGGAACCCTCTCTGCCAGTCTTAGGCTGATCTGCCCAAAAGATGTTAGTAGTTTCATCCATGTGCTGTGTGAAGACAAATAGAAATGTACCATCAAGTGCTTCTAGATCATGCTCTTGGGTCTCTGAATGGGTTTCAGTTAGTTTACCATTATGTCACCAAATTGTATCTGAATCAATTCTATCCTGAAAAGAAGTCCCACCTAAAGGTCAAGAGGATGTCCAATCATCCCCTGAACACTGATTTGAGCTCTTCTGAATTCATCATCCCAGAAGTACAGGAGTAATTTTAATATCCACATTCATAAATTCTGTCAGATCCAAGCAAACTATCCACAGTCAATGCAATAGATTTAGTGCAGCCAAAAGTTTGTTTGGTTCAGAGGCCGGTGAGGCCAAAACCTACCGCTGTTTCCAAGTCAGTCTTGTAGGACCTATAGAGGGCAGAGGAGGTGTTCCTGAGGTCCTCTTGAAAGCCCACGTTGAGTCTGACTGACATTCTCAGGGTTATGTCTGAAAAATAGGGGCAATATTTAAAAATCTCATGTTAGCCTTTAAGAAGACACAGGACACAGAAACATTTGCTTGATCTGATACCAAATAGCCACTCAGCAAACGAACATTTAATGAGCAGTTACTTACCTCTCTGGAGCTGGCAAAAAGGTCCATTGGGAGGCAGCCCTTTAAGGCAATTGCAACGCCCTGCAGGGGCGTTGTCATGCTCTTGACAAGTGAGATTGTGAAGGCACTGTTCCCGAGGCCACCTGTAGCCTGACTCACAGGAGCACCAGATTTCATTTCCAGTAGGTCTGCAGACTATCGTCAACCAGAACAGGGAGGAGAGAGAAGATGGTCACCACTTTTGCATTTATAGACTGCAAGTATAGACTAACTCCACTCCATAGTGCCCTTCCGAGAAGTTCAAGAGTACTGCATGAGATTCTCATGGCTCCTGTATGTATCACCATGCTATTAGGCCTGAGCATCTAAAAGATGACTATTCCAACTAGCCCAAGGCATGCCTACAATGGTGATATGAGAGATTTCTGACATCCAGTAGCCAGCCTCCAAGATGGGCCCTGCCTCTCCCTGCCTCTGGGTATTCACACTCTCATGTAGTTCCCTCTCATATTGTACTGGGGTTGGTCTGTGTGACCAATAGATTATAACAGAAGTATTACTTCTGAGATTAGGTTATAAAGACACTCTGGCTTTCACTTTGGTGGCTCTCTCTCATTCTCTCTTGTACCACTTGCTCTGGGGGAAGCCAGCTGTCATCACATGAGACCATGTCATGACATTTCACAAAACCACAGAGTGAGGAACTGAGGTCTCCAGCCAACAGCTAGTGAGGAACTGAGTCTGCTGGGAATCACATGAGAGAGCTTGGAAGCAAATTTTCCACCCCTAGTTGAGCCTTCAGATGACTGCCCCTCTGGCTGACAGCTTGACAACTTCATGAGAGACCCTGAGCCAGAGCCTGCTAAGCTTTTCCCAAATTTCCGGCCTTCAGAAACTGTGACATGTTTGTTGTTTGAACGCTAAGTTTTGGGGTAGTTTGTTACACAGCAATAGATAACAAATGAAGAGTACAAGCAAAATTGTGCCTTTTACATTTCATGTCAAATGTGAGCAGCCCAAACAGACTCTGATACTAAGGGGACACTGAAAACAGAGAGCTGAATTTACTTCTAAAACTGGACTAAAGTCAAATCACCGGGAGCTGTTTTTTTCTGCAGACGGGCACCTGGGCAAAGACTCAGCAGGGTGACCCTCCAAAAGAAAGCCGTGAGATAGGAAGAACAACTGAGTCCCAGTGAGTCCTTGGATGCTGATGCAGCCCTGTGCTCTGGAAGGCGTGGGAGCTGAGCAGAAGCTTAGGGATCAGAGGGTGTCCAGGCTGCTGGTGAGGGTGGGGATCATTGGTGGGGGAATTTGAAGGGAGCCAAAAAGACCCCCTTGTCAAAATCTCTCTTTTACTGACCTGAAATCCCACTGCGAAAGCATTTTTTTGTTTGTTTTTTGAGAGGGATGTGGGGGTAGTATTTGAAGAACTTTTGACGCCCATGTAAAATACAAACTTGCTTTAAGAGGATGACAAAAGCTATCATCACCAGACCGCCTACCACATTCCAGGTATTGTTTGGTGCTTTACACACACTGTCTGGCCCTTAGTTTTGTTTGCTCTTATTAAAAAATGTCTTCCTTGAAAGGATCATCAAGTAAGCTGTTGGAAGAATGGGCAGGGAGAGGCATGGGAAGAGGGGAATGGAGAAAATTTGGGGGTGCTTAGATATTAGTTTCATGTTCAATAAGTCTAATTTTCATTGCCCACCCATCGCATCCACTCCTTTCTGAGGTCAACTCTCTCCAGCTTTCCCCTCTGGTCCTGAGGTCCTTGAGCCACAAGCTCTCTCAGTTAACTATCAGGAAGTTGTCACCCCTTCAACATGTGAATAACCAGTCTTGCTGGCAGGATAAATTAAGCTTTCCCAGGGCATTCGCATCTTAAAAGAGAAACTTGCTAATTTAAATTGTAAATTTGTTAACCCAATTTGTAAACTTGGTTAACAAATTTCTAAAATGGCATAAACAGTGGAGCCCCTGAAATCACACCTCCTCTAACAGAGCCAGACAAACCTAGGAGACTGTCTTAATATGTCTATACTGAGTGAACATAACATTAGCTCACAATGAAAGTTCAAGTGTTAACAATCACAACCTGTTCGACAAAAATGAACAACTTATATTTGATACTTATTGGTACATTTTGTTTACTAGAGTTGCTTTCTAGTACTCAAATAAATACCAAAGGTTTCCATTAAAAGACTATTGGGAAGCAAAACAAAATTGACTAAAAATATATCAAATTATTAATTGTTCCCATAAATAGGGGAGACAATTTTAGATGCAGATCTGTGCTGAGTGGAGACATAGAAAGATGTTTCCTATCTTGCTGCAACATAACTGGTTTTGTGAAATGTTCTACGGAAGAGTCCTTTTCATAAATACATTTGAGGAACATTGTGGGTGACTCACAATGCATTCGATCAGAGAACCTCATGGTAACTCAAGGAAATTAATGCTAATGCAGAATTTGGTGGGGAATGGAATCCAAAGGGAGCTTTAAGGCAGCTCGTTCAGGTTCAAGCAGCATATATTAAGAGCTAAAAATTAATATGCAGACTGACACTGTGATAGACTCTTTAAAATATTAGAATTCAGAAAGATTTTAAAAAATAAGAATTTTATTCTTGTTACTATTTTAGAATAAAAAAGCCCACATCTTAGTGCTTTGCAATTTACAAAGCAGTAACCTTGTATAACATAAAGGGCAATCACATCTCACAGCTGCTATGGCATAGAGGTGATGGTCCCCTGAGACATAGGAGAGCTATCATGACCTTGGAAGGGAGTCAATGACCAGAAAGTCCAATCCCATAGTCTGGGAGGTCCTGCTTAATGCCTTACTGCTGACCTAGGCATGTACCTGGTTCCTATTTCCTGACCGATGATGCCAAAAAAGAAGGGAATTGCTACTTATCAGTCTCCTGAACTCATGCTTGCCATATCCACTGATTGCCCAGGGTAAGAGGATCCAGTAGTTTTCATGGCCATATCTTGGGACCACTTTGTGACAAGCAACAACCAAACCACTAAGTAAACATGCGGTCACCATTTAAAATAAGCAAACTGGCTGCAGAGTTTACCAACAGGGATTTCATCTGGAAGGCAACGAAGTAATAAAATCACAGGTCAAGCCTGTTGGGTCATTGCACGTGCCTACTCAGTATAATTTGCTCTAATGGGAGGAGCTCAGAGAGCCCTTCCTTGATAAGCCTAATCCTCCATTCTGAAGCAATGGGTCTTTTACTTACCTGTTGTCACCTCTATGCTCAAAATGTTGGCAGCGGGGTCAGTGTCATTGCCTTGAATTGGGAAACTGAGGCTGTTCAGGTAAGCTTTGATAGGATCCAGGAAGGAGGCATTTTCAAAACTGATCTCAATATCAACAGTGTACTCTTTCGCTGTAGGATGACTCGTGGCAACTGAAATGAAACATAAGAAGGGCTGTGAGAACTTAACTGTGGGTGGTGGAGGGAGAACACCGTAGACATTTCAGCACTTAAAGGTGGTGACAGGAACATGTGGATGCTGGACACATGCACATCTGCCTTTAAGAATTTCTAGAAAAGCCCTGGCTGATTTGGCTCAGTGGATAGAGTGTCAGCCCATGGACTGAAGGGTCCTGGGTTCGAGGCCTGTCAAGGGCACAGCATGCAGGAGGTGGCCAATGTTTCTTTCTCTTTCTCCTCTTCCTCCGTTTCTCCCTCTCCCTTCCACTCTCTCTAAAAATCAATGGAAAATTATCCCTAGGTAAGGATTAAACAACAACAACAACAACAAAAGAATTTCTAATAAACTTTTTAGAGGAAAAGAAGAATTTGTATACTGACCACCACCAAGTCCCTCTCATGGTGATTCTTCTCTACAACTTTACTATTTAAACCAAGAAGGCAACTGATCTGTCTGGTCTCAGAGCAGTGGTCTCTGGCCATTTAAGAGATTCACAGGCTAAGCTCAGGACTTGTCCTTCCTCTCTGTTCCCACACCCTTCTTCATGTCCAAGGCCAAGGACCTCCGTGTGGAGAATGAACTGTGATGGGACAAGAATAGAAGCAGAGAGACCTAGCACGCAGGCTTTGGCAACAGTCTTGACAGCAAATGCCAATACATGTCCTGACTCACCAGGATGACTCAATATGTTTCAAACACCATTGAATTGACATGCATGTATTTCGAGAGCTGGACTATGCAAACTTGAGACCTCTGGGAAAAGTCATCTAGCTAATTCCCTTTGCTCCTAGCCTGGAGTGGCTTTCGGTTTTTACTCTGTGTTTCAGAATATGATAGGTGTTCCACAATAGCAAAGTTGGCAAGTTGGAAAGTAAAGTGAAAGCGATCTTCATTGTTTTTCCAAATTGTCTTCAGGCTGGCTGACTGGCTATCATTCTAGATGCATCTGGTCCCCAATACATACATGCCCACTGCAGGCAGGGCAGACAGTATATGTATATCTATATGTCTATGTCTATGTCTATGTCTATGTCTATGTCTATGTCTATGTCTATGTCTATGTCTATGTCTATGTCTCTATCTATCTATATTCTTTCATAGTTTCCTATATGACACCATGTCTAGCCCACTAGCTGTAAGCTCCTCAAGGACAGGAACTGTTTCATTTCTCATGGCCTTACTCACTCCATCTGGCCTGGAGTCACCGCATAATAAGTTTAACCTGTGACTCTGAGTTGAGTCACAGATCCACCTCTCTGTCACTGCCGGAATCCTTGGCTTATTCTTGGTTGAAATATATAACTGGAGCAGAAGCCATAGACTAGTTAGAAGCTAATGAATAACCTTCAAAAATTAAGAAAATTTTTTACAGACACATTGAGAAGGCAAGTTGTGTTCTATTTTATTTTGTCAGTCAAGTAAGAAAAAGATAGGTAAATACCTACAAAGCGATTACCTTAAAATTTAAGTTAAATCTGGACCTCTGATGCATATTTTACCATACAATGAAAAATTCTACGTCTATTTTCTAAAAGGGCAAAGAATGTCTCCCATAAAATTGCAAGATTTGCTTTCAATGTTTCCAAGGATTATTTATGTGAAACACTAAAGTAGAGTAAGTTTACTATGGGAAATTCCAGTTGATAAATGTTTATGGTAGAAAATCATAATGTTTGTTCACTTACAGTTGCAAACTATGTTTGTCTTAGCATGTTGGTTTAAGTCACCAACCTTGTTGAGAATTATTTCATTTTTGGCATCATTCAACTTAATATAATTAACACAAACTGTAAAAATGCAGATTTTCTTAAAATTAAGAATGCACTTTGCCCTGGCTGGTGAAGCTCAGTGGTTAGAGCATTGGCCCACATAACAAAGGGTCTTGGGTTGGATTCTCATCCAAGGACACATACCTGGGTTGTGGGTTCACTCCTCACCACTCCCAAGTTGGGGTGTGTGCTGGAGGCAACCAGTCAATGTGTCTATCTCACATGGATGTTTCTCTCTCCTCCTCCCTCCTTCCCTTCCACTCACTCTCTCTGAAAAGCAATGGAATACATATCCTCGGGTGAAGATTAAAACAACAAAAAAGAATGCACTTTAAGGTGTATTTTCTCCTTATAAAAATATCTTTCCTGCAGAACAGGTGACTTTTAAAACCCAATCTCAGTCTGTCATGATACTATGCTGTTGCTTCAAATTTCCTGGTTTTCTCTTTTTCTGATTCTCAAATGGTTTTGCAATGAAAACAAGCTTTGGGGTGGTGGTCTGGGGGACTCCTTATCTTAATTTATGTGATCTGAACTCTAGACACAGTATGTTGCCCCTGGGACATTTGCAAGGAGGGCAGGTCTTCCTTAGAGCACATTCTTTTTCCTGAAAAGTAATGCAGCAATATTTATACCCTCCAGAGGATTCCTAGCTCCAGGATCCTCTTTGCTGTGGTCAGTCGAATCTCCTCCCATGAATGTAAACAGGATTTCCTGGACGGGAGCTGCTTTTGAGATGAATGAGGTCTATAACAATCCCATATCCCCCACTTCATCATCCGCATTGTTGCATCCCAGGGTCTGATCACAGCATAATGTTATTGTCTGTCTGAGGGCCCTGTCTACCTCCCAGCCATGAGCCCACCACTCTGTGCTCTTTGCAGACTTAATTGCAGTACAAGCATGGGCCTGGAAAGCACGTGGTGATTCATGGATGTCATCACTCCCCACTGAAACCAAGGCAGTGAGTTCTTCCGCTGAGATCTTCCAGGGAGCTGAGCCAAAAAGTTAAAATGCTAAGAGGAAAGTTCCTGTGCCTCTAGCGAGTCCCAGTCTATGGGATCTGTGCAACTACTAATAAGAGCACCAGTCTCTAAGGCCCTCTGTCCCTTATCCACCTTTTATGTTCACTAACTTCTAAAGGAGTTTCAGAGTAACCCTTGGCCCGAGCATCACTTCTCCCTGATCAAAGACTGGTAATTAAGAGAATCTCTAATAGAAAAGGAAACATCCTCTCCTTCAAAATGGCCAGTTCTTCCAAACAGGCTGAAAAAATAAATAAATAAATACCCTAGTAACTCAGAAGGCTTCGGGCTTGCCATTGGGAATCCCCTATTCCAGTGTCGCCCACACTTGACTGATGATTACACCCACCTAGGGAATTCTACACACACAGATATGTTGGAGCTTCAGCCTACCTGAGCCAAAGTAGAGTCTTGATGGGGGAGGCCCAGAAATGTGAATTTTTCCCAATTCCCACAGGTGCTTCTGGTGATCAAGCAGGTTTGGGATCTAACATTTGAATCCAAATGAAGAAACTGAGAAGGTGATCTTGGAGAACCAATATGAACCCATAAGTTTGTTCTTGGCTTTAGCGTGGCTTTTTGTTTTCAACACCGTCTGCTGGTGCTCCTATGGGGGAACAATCGTGCAGTCTCCAAGCATATCTGCTTACTCTTATGTTTCCTCTTTTGCTTTGAGAGAACTGACACTTGCTCACCTCTTTCTTCAGGGATACTGAATAGATCCCAGATGATCATAATGATAGTAACAATAATAACAGCAGCTGCCATTTATCCATTACCTGCTGGGTTCGAGGGCCATGAGAACAGTATGCAAACCCCCATTTTGCAGATGACAAAACTGAAACCATATGGACAGCAAATTTTAGAACTAGGATTTGAAGCTATATTTTTCTGACTCCGAAGTTCATTTTATTTTGACAATATCCTGCCATGACTCAAACAGGAGATGATAATAAAAGTGCCCACTTTGTAAATCTTAAAGGACCATAAAAATATGAGGTATTATTGTTAAATGTGTCTTTGGGAAATGTGCAATTCCCAAAGTATGTTTTGAAATAATATTAAACTCAAAGGCAAAATTATTAATGATAAATGGAAGAATTAGCTAAAACTTTGCTCCATTTGAGTCAGCATAATAAATGTCTTAGAAATCCACGGTGAGGAAAGACACAATGACCCACCACCATTGACATTTGTGGATTTTTTAAAAAATATATATTTTATTGATTTTTTACAGAGAGGAAGGGAGAGAGATAGAGAGTTAGAAACATCGATGAGAGAGAAACATCGATCAGCTGCCTCCTGCACATCTCCCACTGGGGATGTGCCCGCAACCCAGGTACATGCCCTTGACCGGAATTGAACCTGGGACCTTTCAGTCCACAGACCGACGCTCTATCCACTGAGCCAAACCAGTTTCGGTGACATTTGTGGATTTTGACACTGACCCTTGCTCAGTTGGTTTGTTCCTTGGTTTATCTATATATATAAAAGCCTAATATGCTAAGTGTCTGACTATTCGACCAGTCGATATGATGCGCACTGACCACCAGGGGGCAAACGCTCCTACTGGTAGGTTAGCTTGCTGCTGGGGTCCGCCCGATCAGGACTGGGCAAGACAGTCCGGACACACCCTGGAGCCAACCTCCCACGGTCCCTCCCTAGCCTCTAAAATATTTCTTCTAATTAATTTATTTTCAATGTGCATGAATCCATGCACCGGGCCTCTAGTTGATTTATAAGTAACATTACTATATATTGAGTGGCTATTTCCAGGCATTGTGCTTGGTGCTGGGGACACAGGGCATATTCTGCTCACAGCCTCAGAGAGGCTTACAGTTTGAATAGAAATGCCAATCTCTGCCTCTCCCCTGTCCCAAACCTGAGGACTTGCAGGAAGTGATTCTTCTGTCCTGCCTCAGCTACAAGAAACCAGGGGGAACGGCAGGGCTGTTCCCCCACCCCTCTGTGGGTGTGTTAAGAGGCTTCCATACTCGTCTGCTGCCCCTGGGCCACCTGATTCCAGACAGTTTAATGTGTTTTCTTTTTCTTGGCTCCTGTGCCCTGGTGTTGTTTGTCTGAATTTTTCTGACTCACTGATGCCCCAGTGGAAGGTAGCACATTCCAGGTGTCACCCGTGTCACAGATGGAGGCCTATCTGCAGGCCCAGAAGGCACA